CACACACACACACACACACACACACACACACACACACACACACACACTCAGTCAACAAAATGTTGCCTCTTTCAAATATACAATAAAATGTCAAACACCAGTGAGAACCAGACAACTGTAATAAAGATCATGTGTTCCTGAAAAGATGATACAAGTTCTCTATATGTATTGCATCTGTGTGTACTTTATGTCCATCTACATCTATTTTACTTTTAAGCACAGATCAATATGTGGGAGAAACTAAGCAACAAAGGGGGGGAACAGCACAAATACATACGGTTGACCCCTGTGATTGGATCATGGCGACATTGGCGGGAATGTTTGGCGTCGTGGAGGGCGTGGCATCGTGGTTGCTCAGGTCCGCGAAGGGGTGGACGTTCCTCCAGGACTGCAGGTACTGAGACATCCGGATCGACGCCCGCTGCCTGCTCTCGCCTGCAGTGAGACTGTTTGCCTGGAATCGAGATGGAGATCACTTTATTTTACTTGATTGTGATTTGTTTTTCCCTCCCTGGAGATGGATCATCCATCATTCATTTACAGATCCAAGAGCACGTCTCTGCGGGGTTTGAGAGCTCCACAGATGCCCATGCAACAGATCTGCAGCGTTTTAGTTTTTCAAAATGAAGGTCAACCTGCTTCTCTGTATACACACATACAGTCTATGTCAGGAAGTTGCATACTTAGGTTACCAGATTAACACCAAATCAATGACGAGATTAACCAGAAACTTGACATCTCAGATTGCCAATTTTCTGTGCAGATAACATGCTGTTGACTGTTAAAATATATCAATGAGTACATAAATAAAGTGATATTTAGGTGTTCTGAATGTGCTGAATGAGAACTTGAAATAAAACATACCGATTTAGGTCTCCTGGGAATGCTTTCCGGCTTGTGGGGGTTGATCACCAGGTAGGTTTTTCTGTCTTTAAGAAGAGTATCCCGACTCCCCCCGTCTCCATTCTCCACTTCAAAAGCTCCGTTCAAGTGCTGCATTGTCTCCTCTGTGATATGGACCCGCCTGTTAATAATAATAACAGTATGAGTCAATAGAGAGTAGAGAGGCATCGCTATCATCTACACCAACTCAGATTTTGTATTATCTCTGGGCAGACGTTCTCACCCAGGAAGGCCTCCAGACTCCATGTGGTTGGCTAACGTGACGTCATGTGACCACACGTCGTACTGCCACTTCTGCAAGCCGATGACGCCGCACAGCACGTTGCCGGTGTGAACACCCACCCGCATGCTGATCTCGACCCCCGTCGCCTCTCGCAGTTTACTACGGGGAGACAAAAACGTACGAGTAAAATCAGAACGTAAGTGTCTTGAAAGAGATATTCAGTCCTGCTAACTCATTCATCTTAGTTTTAAATTTCATGAAAACCCAGTTAATTGCAACAAAAAGAAGAATCGAACACTTCTACTTTGGATCTGCATGGTGCAAACAACAAGACCTCAATGAAAATGTGCTGTGCGCACTCTGTACCTGTGTGCTTTGAGCTATAATAGACAGTGTGGTTGCAGTTGTAGAGGATAGAGAAGATAGATAAAAGTGAGAAAGTTGTATTGAACACAGTGACATACATGAATGGCTTTTGTGGCTGGAAAAAACACCATGTTACAAAGAGAGAGAACACAACCAAAACGTATTCTATAAATAAAATTGTAAATAATCCTAAAAGTAAAAAAAAGGAGATAAAATAACATTGTGGGAAAAAACTGACCTGATAGCAGTGCACATTTCCAGACCCATCCGAACACAGTTCCTGGCGTGTGTTGGAATGGGGTCAGGTAGACCAGACACACAGTAGTAGCAGTCACCCAAGATCTTAATGCGAAGACACCCATTCTTCTGCGAGTGGAGGAGAAGACAGAGAGCGGGGAGTCAGGAATCAGCTGGTTCAAAACCCACACAAAACGACCCTTTGAGATGAAGGAGAAGTTTGTATTTTGGGCTGGATGTGCTGGTATTTTTTACCTTGGCGATGTCATCGAATCTGCCAAAGAGCTTGTTGAGCACAGCGACCAGCTCTTCCGGTGTGCAGCTGCTCGCCAGCTTTGTGAAGCCCACGATGTCGGCATAGAGGATGCTACACAAACCCACACAAGACAGACAGAAAGGTGAGGCAAAGATACGGCATGAGGGGAGGAGCTAGCTACGGTGACACCTGCAGCTCAGCCAAGGAGGCCATCAATGTTAACGGGATGATCATCACCTGACGTCATTGTGCTTGCGCACGTAGAGGCTGTGGAAGTTGTTGGAGTTGTGGGAGTTGTGGGAGTTGTGGGAGTTGGCTTCCTTCTTCTCTTCGCTTTTGGGCTTGAAGAGCTTGTTTATAACCTCCGTTTTCAGCTCCATGGCAATGTACCGTGGCAACACCGACAGGAGGAGCTGCTCCTGTTGCCAGAGGACAAAGAGAGGGGGGGGTTGAGGGTCACTGGATTTCTTTAACAACCTGTTCACACAGGCTGTCAAAGAAATTGGCGTCCCTTGATGCCATGTTTACTGAGTAAACCACGTTTCATCTATTTGTTTACCTGCTGTGAATAGTGTCTATTTGGGTTTGCCTATTCTGTTACCGCTGCGCTTCAGACAAGTGAATGATTAATCTATTGACCTAATAGCACGAAAAGCATACAGTAACTAAACCCAGGCTGTCCAGGTAAAGAGCCCTTTAATGAGAGCGATTACACATAACGATTTTAAACTCAGAGTAGCTGAAAGATGCTGGACTGAAGAGCAAAAGATTGGAACTACGATAAACCAAGAAAAGCAAATAAAGGCTGAGCCAAATGAGAATGTGTTTCCTCTAAACTGAGCTGCTTTTGAGCTTAAGAGATATTGATTTGCATTTAGAATAAAGCTATACTGTCTTAATGTGCTTGAAGCCAGTGTTCCAACCTGCTGATATTTCCTGATTTCCTTCTGGCAGCGTATGGTGCTGAACTGCTCTCTCTTCTGATTGGATATCCTGCGATCCTGCTCGGTCATCCACAGATGGAAAATCCCGACACAGTTCACGCACACAAACAACAGCGCATTCGCCACCAGCTGGGAAGGAAGTCAGCGAAAGGGAAAGGAGATCATTGATACCTTATTGTGTGTTGCTCTGAATTTGTGTACATCATTATTGGGATGTATTACTGAAAAGCATATTCTACTATTCACCACATGACAAGCAACAGGTTTTGCAAAACCAGGGTTAGGACAAACAAAAAAGTGATGCAGATAATTTGCATATGTTCCGTTTTGTACAGTGCAACTGTAAAACACGCTGGTCACAAACCAACAAGGCAACATTATGCAGGCCGACGTAAACCTCACACGAGATATTTGAATTTCGGACGCTATTGTCTGGCACATGCAGAAGGCGCTCATCTCTTTAGATTGGCAGGTCGTTTGCAAAATATTTGTCTACGTATACATTTGAAGCCTTTATTATGTACACATATTTGTTTTTCAACCAAATACTAAGCATTGCATCTCCCCTTGTTTGAAGTCTATGTGTGATGCTAAGCTACCCCACACACGGCTCTAGCTTTAAGCTTACAGACATAAAAGTGACACAGCAAATCTTTACCTGCACAGCCAGGTCGGGTGTCTTTGGGTTCGTGACGGGGACGTACACGCTGATGATGATGATGTGTGAAAGGCTGGTCCCGATCCCAACCATGAGGGCCCAGGCCATAGAGAGAGGCAGCACGGTGTACACACTCAGAGAGAGGAAGAGGAAAAACGCTACCTGAGAAGGCGGAGAGAAAGAAAGACTTTAAGAGGTTTAAGAGCAAAACAAAACTCATTATTTCCCTCTTGTTTTTGGCTCCCTTTTCACCTGTTCCCACGTGGTGACAGGTCCGCCGGTGAAGATGAAGACTATGGCAATGACGTACAGCGTCCCCCAGACGAAGAGGGCCAGGGCTCCTCCACAGCGCCTCACCGTGGCCAGCCAGGGCAGGCAGACCAGCAGGATGGCACTCAGACAGAGAACTACGCCCAGCACCGCCAGAGCGCCTACGTGGATGTCGGTGTCCTGTGCAGAGATGAGGTAAAGGTATTTTCATTTTTGCAATGAGACAACATAACGAGTAATTCCCCCCAAGAGTATTTTGCTATACTTTGTCAAAGACTTCCAATGCAGAGGCCTGTTAACAAAAGCATTAGTAGTGTGCTCAACCGGTTAGTTTGTGTGGCACAAACTTTGCCACAAATAATGTCTGCAATGATTGGTTGTCAAACCAGCAGCACTCTGATCTTTTGTACTTTTACGACGTTAGAAAACAAACAAGCCTGTGTTGGTAGAAGATCGTGATGGACCAAGACACAAAATTGTTTTTTAATTTTCTTGTCTCCGTGAACAAAACAAACACACCAGTTTCTGTGCAAACCTATAATTTTGTGCCTGTGTAACATTCTGTACAACACGGATCCCATCATGCAACTCTGACCAGTCTCGTAAAGATAAAAGCTTCGTTACATCCTGTTGGAGATTAGTTATTAATCGAAACTTTATATTAACATTAAAAGGAAGTAATGTGTTTTAACTGTCTGTTTCGTTGCAGGTTGACCTACATATGTACAGCTTTCATGTGTGCCACCGTTTTGTGGGAACGAGAAGTCAAGAATGTTGTGGTGTTTTGGAAGAACGGGTTTAATGCTCTATTTCCTTGACCTCCACTGAACCTGGCTGCTAACAGTGGAAAACCCCAACCGAGTTTCCACTTTAACTGTAATTATATTTGACAAAAACCTGTATGTATTTGTCAAACAGACAGACAGGTTGTGAAGTAATATACAAAGCATACCCCCTCTCTCACACACACACACACACACACACACACACACACACACACTCTCTGCATGTCTCACCCTTCCTGTGGTGGGAATGAGGACGATGATGGCCACACAGAAGGCCAAAGACAGCACCAGTCCAGACACCATGGCCGGAGTCTCCTCCACGCACTGCAGAAAGGCCCTGTTGAACGCCTGGTAGCAGCAACACACCCCCTCTTTCACACTCTGCCTGGACCGGGTGCTCTGCCGGTCCTCGTCTCTGTTCTCGTCTCTGTCGTCCCACCTGACGTCGATGCTGTCCCTCGTTTGGACGACTTTGAATGCAAGGTCAGGTAATGCGGGCGAACTGCCACCGGGTGAGTTTTCGGCTTTCGCGTTAAGCGAGAAGTCAATTTTGGATTCGCCTCTATCATCGTCCAGACTCTTTTTGGTGTCTTTGTTGGAAGAGTCTAAACTGGGTTCTGAAAAATCAACAACAGTGAAAGGTTTTGTCTTTTCACAGACGTCAGTGCCATTGTCAGTTTGTAGTTTGTAATCAGGGGATGATGTGACCTGGGCATCACGATCCGAAGCCTGCGGGGTCACCGATGTTCCCTTCAACAAAGGGTTGGCCTCCAGAGGTTCGGGGGCCTGCTCTGTTTTAGCCACACCGACCTCCACGGAGACCTGAGATTCACTGAGTCCCTTCCTGCTTTTTGAGCTGTCATTTCGTTGCAAAATGTTAATGTCGCCGCTTTGCGCTGATTGTTTTACTCCGGCTTTCGTTCGACTGAAGTCGTCAAACTCCATGATATTGGAGATGACCACACTGTCCGGCACAAAATACACCTCTGGAGCTCCTTCCCCGGTCCTCCCCTTTTCCTGAAGATCTTGCCACTTGTCCGGCATCGTGACTATGTGAGTGACCATCAACCGACCTGTCACTTTGCTTTTTCTGGCTGTCTGTCTCTCTGTCTTTTTGTCATGATAAACACACACTTTACTTCTTTTGTCTTCCCCGTCAGGTGTTGTTTATGTCTGTGCAGCAGGGAGAAGTTCCACTTTTATCTGAGAGAATCTGTGTTTTGAATCTTCTCCTCCAGCTCCAAAGATATCATCAAAGTTGATTATGATGACGCCGTTGATGAGGATCGTGTTCTTTCTGAGGTGACATACATCCGTTAAGGTCCAAAAGATCGCTGGTAAGGAATCTTAAGACAAAGCATAATCTCCTTTGACGAGTGCTGATGCACGCTGGATGGAGTCCTGCTGCCAAAAAGCAAAAATATAAATAATTCTTAAAAGTTACAACATAACTTGAAGTATAAATTCACTGCTAAACATTTCTAAGCTGAGAGACTGTGCTTGTGTCTGTGTCACAGCAGCAAAGTCCAATAGTGAGAGCAAGGAAGTCCTACCTGTGCATGCTTTCAATGCCATTTTAATGCCAAACTTCTTTGAGTCATTTCCCCATTATGCAAAAAAACTAGTTAGTCCACCTGCGTGCTCTTACTCTGACACAAAACACACGTACACACTGTTCAGGTTTGTACCGGAACGACGTGTCAGAGACGCACCCAGTGCACATTAAAGACATTTTTTCCGGTCACCACCTACACTCTGAGTCCTCTTCCCTGTCATCTGACTGTACAGACCGCCTTTGTCATGACACCAGGATTAAAGAAATCTCTCTTTAATCTGTCTCTTCTGCCGCAGGTACACATCTGATTTGATAGCAAAGCGATAAGAGGGATTAAATGGGAATCTATCCGTTCACCCTGATTAACCTGAGCCAGTGTAACAGATCAACCGTATGCCGTGTCCTTTTACACCACAACAACCAGGGTCCTTTTGAACACTTTCACAAAAGTCATTTTATTAAGGCTGACACACTTTACGCTGGGACATTATGTGGTGAACACAGTACATGTATTGTTGTTCCACTGGTGTCCCTGTTCCCGGTCTGCTGGTTTCTCTACCCTGTTCTTCTGCTCGTCTGTGAAGAACTTTGCAATAAAAAAGAAAGAAGAGGGGTTTTTCAAAAACCTTCTGACTTATTTAAGCTCTAAAGAAAACAAACAAGCCTTTGCTGCTTGAAGATCACGATGGACCAGAACACAGAAGTGGAACAAAAGCAATTGCTTTTACAATTTTTAGTCATAATGAACAAAACAAACACACCATTTTCTGTGCAAAACTTCAATTTTGTGCCAGTATAATATCCTGCATTGAATCTCCAATTGAAGCACAAGAATGTTGTGGTGTTTTTGGAAGAATGGGTTTAATGCTCTATTTCCTTGACCTCCACTGAAGCTGGCTGCCAAACGTTGTTGAGCAAAGTGTCCCTTACAGTGTTGAGCTGTGACCTAAAAGAGTGCAAAACAGCACAACTACCTTCCTCATACTCAATCACAATACTTCTATTGTTGTTCCACTGGTGTCTCTTTTCTTTGTCTCCTGGTTTCAATAATCTGTTGTGCATGTGTGTAAAGCACTTTGCAAAAAAAGAAGATCAATAGTTCAATTCAAACATTTAAATTGAATATTACTTAAATGGTCCAGTTTCTTCCGTGTTTTCCCAGTTATGATCAAGTTAATACGACTTATTCAGTTAGATGACCAACCATAACAAATAAATAAATAATTATTGATTAATCTGTATATTGTTTTCTCAATTAATCCATAAATCTAGCCTAGTTGTTTTTTCTATATGTGCCCAACAGTTTGAACCAACCACTAAAATAAAGAAATAAAGAAAAATTAAATAAAAAATCAGGTTAGCATAAATATAGTAGATGTGATGAAAGTACTTGTATCAGCTTATGATCCAGTTGCTTCAGTGATTCTAGAGACACAATATTCATAAAAACATGTATTTTTTTCATGCAAAATGACGTCCAGTTTAGGGTCAAAGTGGACCAAAAGAGCATCTGTCCAGCAACACAATCCATATCAATATCAATATGGTCAGTCCAAGTTCACTTATTATTTCACGTTAATAAAAGTTGACTGCTTGACAGAACAGAAACAAAGGGTAATAATGACATGAACATACAAGTTGAAACAATAAAAGCAAATTTAAAGAAGTTAATATTAGGATAAATAATATTCTTACCTCATTGTTGGATAATTAACGCACACACGATAAGTTTAATTTTCCTTATCTGCGTCTTTGTCGCTCAGCTTCCTCCGTCTGCCGCAGACAGCACTGACCATTGCTGTCAGAGAAATATTTTAACTGTTAAAGCCGGTAATAGCCGTCAAGATCATCCCGTTAAAACCGTTCTTTAAAAGAAAAAAAGCACAGACGCGTCTGGTTCTGCGCTCGAGCGAGTCTCTTGCGTAATTTGTGCTCGTGAGGGCTCGAGTGAGGAAGCAGGTGAATGCGGGAGCGTGCGCACGCAATCACGTGCACGAGCGCTCTAGTCCAGCAACGCAAATAGGAGGAGACAAGGAGAGAGGATAGATGGAGAGAAAGGACAGGTCGAAGACCAGACGGCAGCTGTTTTCTCTTTTAAACCAACAACAACATTTTAGGAAAGCACAAATACATTTACTGAAGTACTGAACTTAAGTAGAACATTTGAGGTATTTGTACTTCACCTGAGTATTTCAGGCTACATTTCAGAGGAAAATCTTGTAACGCCTACTTTTTCCTTATTACTTTAATCTGACAGTTTTAGTTACAAATTAAGATTTTTGCAGGCAAAACATACAGTAAAATCCTGCTTTTACATTAATGCATGAGTAACAATAACGTAATGATATATTACATACAATAATACATAATAGTATAACAGGTAAGAGACATTTTTCTGCATTGAGTACTTTTACTTTTACTAGTATTTTAAAGCAGGACTTTAATTAACAATGTATTTACACAGTGTGGTATTAGATATGGTTATATTGTCTACAATTGTTTTACAGAGGTGTTGATTCAGCTTTATGATTGTTTCGTAGGCTGTTTGTTGAGGAGCTGGTTTATTAATTAAATAGTGGTGTTTTTCTAATATTGTGTCGACCACATTTATGACTCAGGGTGGACATACTTTCATAAACACCTCTCAATATACAAATTATACAATTATAAAAAAGTAGTGACACACAACATACGTATGTGATGAATACAACAACTTACAGGTAAGAAACTAGAGAAGTCTTTGTCTAAACAAGCAATTTTACAACATCGGCAAACACACACACTATTGTGAAGACGGTGCAGCTGCAGGTTTTATGGCCTGATAAAAGTATATTACAGAAGAATTACATAAGAATGACCATACACAAGTATGGTAATTCTAAAGGTATACATGTACATTACTTTTTCCATTTTCTGCTACTTTATACTTCTACTTAACTACATTTCAGAGGAACATACGTATTGTACTTTTTACTTAGCTACATGCATTATTATATGTTCAAACAAGACTTCATTGATCCTCAGAGGTATACTAAATGCAGCAGGAAAACATATAATATAATATTACCAACCAGCAAATATACAAGAATACACCGCACAGGTTGCACTTCCACTTTCTCTTCATCTCTAGAAAGATAACCATCAAAAAGGAGTGGCGCTGCAGTGATTTATGCTTCCTTTAACCGAATATTTTGGCCCCACACATTCCAATAAGTACATATTTAAAGAAAGTACAATGAATGCAACACCAAACTGACACAATCGGAAGAAATGTGAAACTTTGAGACAGTCAAAAAAACTGTTTCTGTAATTTACAAAGACAAATCAAGCATCTCTGGTAGTTTCTTGATACATCGAGGAAAAACGTTTTTATTATATTTGTTAATTGCAGAAAGAGTTCTAACACTGACTGACTTAAAAATTAACACATTGTCGAACACGCTGCAGGAACATGCAGAGATCTGTTGGCCTGGTGCATGTTAGGAGGCTTTCCTTTGGGCAATAACACACCAAGATAATTTGCGCCTCATGCTGCTCTCTCACCTGTCACAAGATATTTATACACACTCCCTGACAGTTGCCTGTACATCTCAATTAATGTGCGGTTTGCAAATATGTAAAACTGGTGTTTCAAAAACCACCCACTGCATGTGACTTTAATTTACTATATTATGTAGAGGTGAGTCACTGGGCAAGTCCACTGAGCGAATGTCTTGCGCAGGATGTTCCCAAAATAGATGTGCAGTCTATTTTGCACCATTGTTCACGACTCACCCAACCGGTTTAACGTGGATCTATTCTCAGGAGGAGGCCACTTCAGTGAAGTCCAAAAACAGAAACAAGGCTTATTCCTTCTAATGTTCCTGTGTCAACACTAAAATATGTTTATGGAGTAATAATCCTTATTGGCTCTGGACAAACAAAACACAAAAAGAGTCACGATAGCAAGAGGAAGCAGTTTACAGATGAATTCACACAGCTGCCTCCCTGAGAAGAATCCTCTCACTACCTGTACTATCTAATATTTAAATGTTTCTGATGGCAAGAAATACACTCAGAAAGGCTGCACTAAGATCCAAGAGCACGTCTGAATGCTGTTTTGGCCAATACACTTCAACATTTGCATTGTAATTTCTGTATTCGTGAAGGGTGAAACATCATAACAAGCCTTTACAGATTCTGTGGAGATGCATCGTTTTATGAAAACTGAGGTATAACGTTGATCTCAAATCACTGTGGAGAGGTTTGCACATCAAACCGTGGCAAAAAGTAAAGGACAGAAACAGGAAGCTGAGCTTTTATGCATCATCAAGAAAAAGATCATTTTATAGAAGGAGTTTCATTCTGTTATATACTATATTTAATTCAACCTGTCTCTTCTCACACTTCGACAAATAGTGGTAAAGTGCGACCCCTAAAGGACATTGTTGTGAACAGCAGTTTATTTGATTGTCACAGGATTCATATTCTGTATAAATGACACATCTGGCAGTAACTGCAGTCCCTAAATCTGTTACAAGAGCTTTTAATTAATAAAATAGCACATAGAACTGCTTAAATGTACAGTCAAAGTGGGAATAAACAAGATGTGTGGATGTGTAGGCTCCAGTATGTTCAACATTACCTGTTAATATGCTGAAAATCCAGTTCTGTGGTTCCCTAAAGCACATACAGCCGTCAAACTCAGGTGACTGACGTCTGGCACACATGCTTAGTTCCACCTGTGCTCTTCATGCTATTTATGTGACAAGTCAAACATGTCTGCTGTGAAAAAGGTCCATGAATCTGAACCATTCATCTGGTTTCTATTTACTCGTGTTGTTCTTAACTGTGTATTTGAAGTCAAACTACTTAAAACTGTCCATAAAATGGACTATTAGTTGATTAGAAACCAACTAAAACCTGCCTGTTTATCTTACGCTTTAGTATGTTGATGTTGTCCGATGTCAAGTCTCTATTTAATTACTTAACAATGGTGTGTGTGTGTGCTTCGTAACTAGAAACTAGCACTAGGGCCGGTCCAGATGACCACACTCCACTGTCGCAGACATTAATCCCACTAAGTATTAATCTGGTGATGTGCAGGTCAAAACGGCAGATGAAATCAGAGCTAAATGTAATTGAATGTAAAATGAACATTTCTTTCATCTAGATTGCATATAACTGCTTTTTATATTTTATTCAGGCTTCACACAAAGCTTCACTCTTTAAATGTAGCTGTGATATTGGTTATAATTAACCTCAACACCACTTTCTAACCAAATTCAGCCCCGTTTTAACCTAAATACCTGCAAAAGAAAACTGAATTAAGTAATTCAGAGACACACAGTACCATGGAAACACTTTCAAGACGTTTTTAAGACACTTTTTTGAAATAGCTTTACAGAAGACATGGGCAGAAATCAGCATCAATCTCTCAAAATGTACATATATGAACAATACAAATAAGAGCTGGTGAACTGTGATAAATTGAGGATCTGATCTTTGGTCACAGGAGCTATATGGATGATACATGGTTTGATTTAGGCCTCCTCATCCAGACACACTCTGCATGATCATGGTGTACAATCATGTCGACGTCAGACCTGCTTAAAATAAATTAAATATATAAAAATAAGTGTACAGGATATTGTAAGGATTGGTTTAGTATTATTGTAGCGTTGCAAAAGGACATCCCCGACAACTGATACAACAACTATGTGCCTCTTATTGTCTGTATTTTGTTTTTGTAAACAGGTAGCTATACAATTTTAAGATCAGCAGGTTATAATAAATTCAGAATAACGACAGATAACATTTTATTTATTGCTCGGTCTAAAAACGACTTTTCTAAAAGATAGAAATCCTCTTTTAAAAAAAAGGAACATTTAACTATTTTCTCAACTCTAGTTGCTCGAAGCACAAATAATAGAGGACGCGCTGGTTCTCACAAGAAAACATGAGAGAGAATTAATTCCGCTTTAACACTGTTGCATGATAAAAGAAACACGCGGTCGCCTGAAGATGACCTGAAACGGTTAAACAACCCCGAGGAGGATGTTCCATATGCATTGGTCGTGTTTTTAAGACATACAGAGTCAACAACGGGGCGAGCGGCTCTGTGAGGCTGCACTCGAGCTAAATGCTAACATACTCACAATGCTAACGTGCCGACGTAAAGCAGGTTTTACCATGTTCGTATGTCAGTTTAGCCCGTTAGCATGCTAGCATTCGACACAAAGTACAGCTGATGGGAATGTTTTTCAGGTATTTGATCATAAATCAAAGTGCTGAGAGAGTAAAAAGTCAGGAGAACATCAAATTCATGAGGATTCATCCTCTGGGGAACATGAATATCTTTATGATATTCCATGGGCAATCCATGGGTTGTTCAGGTATTATATTGCATCTCTATTCTATTTGTTCGTCAGTGAACGACAGATTAAAGGGACCAAACCTCTCTCCTTATGGTGAGCACCTCTTTAAATTTCTTCCCGCCTGTCATTCTCTAGCCTCATCTATTTTCCAATGTGGTCCTTTCACCTGTATAGGATCAATAAGGATGCAAAGGATGCAAAATATAAATTGGGAATCTTGATTTAGGGAAAACTAGTCCAACCCTACTTTTAAAGGTCGAAAAATAACTTTAAAAATCTGCAGAGAATCTGCAAACGTGGGAGTGAATACATGAGACAACGGACCTGTATTCAAATGCTGGATATGTTGGACTCATCTGATCATTTTGTCGTTTTTTTGTTGTTGTAAAATCCTTGCTTAAGCAGAACAATGATTAACCGGTGGGGTTTGTCGTAGCTGCGTTGGTGGTAAACAAAATTGTATGACTTAAAAACAAGGGCAAACTTTAGCGTAAGAAAAGTCAGAATTTTCCCAGATAAAGTATTAAGACTAAAAGATGCCTAGTCCTTCTACTGCCTCAGCATCAGATCAGACAGCACATTCATGTCCGTCTCTGCCGGGTGGCACTGCAGCACCAGCGCCACCATGTTGTCCTGACCCGGAAAAACCTGACAGAGCTGCTCTCTGAGGCTGGCCGTTTCATCCGGGCTCCTGTCCGCGCTGAACCCCAGTCCCGAAGCATCAACACCTTGCTGGTGTCCCATGTCCCACCCTTTTCCGTGTCCCCTCCCTTTCCCCCGGCTCGCTCCGCCCAGCGTTCGGTCGCGGAAGTTCAGGAGCTCCGTTTGGGAGCGAGGAGGTTTGGAGGAGGGGAAAGCGGTGGCTACGCCGGCAAAAGAGTGGTTTCCTGGGTCCGGAGTCCTGAGAGGAAAGACAGAACTTCACTTATTACTAACTAACTTCCACCTATAACTAAGAAACTAAGTTTCTGAGCTACCCTGCAGAAAAAAAGCAGCAACAGCATCTGTGGATGAATTTAAAATATGTTCGTGTGTTCATCTGTATGAGTTAATACCTGTGCTCTGAGCGCAGGAAGTCATCCAGGTGAGGCCCTCCTCTGCCCAGAGGGTCGTCCGGCACCATGAAGTGATCCCCGACAAACGTGTACTGAAGAAGTCTGCATGGGGAGGAGACATTACATCATACCACTGAGATGAGTGGACTGGCCCTTTAATCAGCCTTCAGACAGGAAACACCAAATCTCTACTTTTATTTAGGTAAAAAAAAATCACCAGAGTGCGGCCTTTTCATACCTCTTTTTGATGATGTCCCTCCACACAAGGGACTCGTCTGAAAGGTCTCTCAGGTTGTCGTTAGTCACGATCACTCCATCTGTCTTCTGCGCGAGCTGCAGCATTAATCTGCAGGAACGGGGGGAAAGAAAGATTTCAAAGCAGCCAGGAAAAATAAAAATCTTATGTTCTTTGGCGCCACACAGTGGTGCCCTCAAACATTTAGGATTGGGCAACAAATGCAGAGTCCCAATTCAATACTACATACCGATTCTATGCAGATTTTGGGTATGCCGAGTGTGTTCATTCAAATATACTTAAAGCAGACAGAATGCAGACTAAATACAGTCATTTTTTAATGTGTGTGCTGTGGATGCACATTATTCTCCCACAATGCAATGCACAAAGGAAAAGGAGGAGCTACTGACAACTGCCTAAAAATAAATTGTGGATGCTGGTGAAACAGCCCCAAAAAAATCATGGAAAACTATTTTTTGTAAAGTATTTGTAAAGTTTGTTTCATCATTTTTTGTTCGTAAGAAATGGTAAAATATGTTGACATGTTTGTGTACTAACTGCTAAAACAGTACTCTATGATGATAGTACGTAGCACATACTGTGTACAATTAGTACTGAAAGAACTGAAAGCAGCGGCCCGCCTACCTGTCGTCGTACGAGCTGATCCTCTTGCCCTGCACCTCTCTGGAGGGGGTGTAGGACACCAGGCCCAGCTTCTGCAGCTCGGTCAGATAGTGCTGCTCTGCGAGGGCACGAACAAACAACGTTATCTTTAGTCTGCCCAGAAACGCTGAAACGCCCACACACACTCACATGCTCGCCAGATGCTGATTTGTTTTCCTCCCCTCAGGTGTGACTCAGAGTCAAATACGAGCAGCAAACACGCACGAGGCCTTTGTCATTTCAAAACCACAGAACGCATTTGACCAAAGGGAAACTTTGAAAGCAGGAACTATTAAGAACGGTATTTCATGGCATTCAAAATGTTGAGAGGAGGCAGCTCATAGATTGATGAATAAAGTCGGACACAAATTCATTTTCTAATGACTTTTCATTGACTTTATGAAAAGTCTTAAATTTGACAGACCAAACCAAATGTATTACTGCGTTCAAAAAATAATTAGGTTACCTTTGATCTTGGGGTCGCTCTTCTGCCTCCACTGCGGCAGGAGGGCGCTGATGTGTCGATGGCCTCGATCCCAAAAGTGCTGGACGGCCAGAGCGATTCCTCGACAGGAGAAGAAGTGACCCAACCCGTGACTGTGGAAAACATGGAACAGTTAGACAAAGGGCTTTATAACAAAACCAAGGTGGAACCAAACATCTGGATATGAACCTTCATTTGTTATTCACTAAATCTTTAAAACTAAAGATGTCTTGAAACAACACAACCTAAATTTCCATTCTATGAGAGAACAACTACAACACTGCTATTCTGACCTCATGGCCACGTTGCTCCCGTCAATGATGATCGTCCTCACTTTCGAGTCGCCAGGTTTGTCTGTGAGCTGGAGGTCGAAGTGCATCTGCAGGCCTTCCATGAAACGCTGCTCCCCCGTCACCACCACCGAAGGAGAGGCGGCCGCGAAGCCTCGTCTTTCCTTCGCTCTGGTGGGAGACGAGTCGGCTCTTGTGAAGACGGGGAGCTGAGGGGCTTGGAGCGCTTGTTTTAAGACAGAAGAAGACTTGGGTTTGGGGTTGAAGACGTTGTCTCGGGTTGGGTGGTCTTGTTTCGAGGTGGATGCATCAGACCAGTAGTTGGTTTGGCCATATTGTTTGTTGGGTTGGAAATGAGTGAGTGGAGGATCTAGGGGTGAGGGATAAGTAGGCATGGGCGGCCCTTTGACTTCAGGAAGGATGACTTGGTGTGGAGTTTGTGAGTCTGTGAGTTTATGGAACTTAATAAACTCAGATACGGTTTGATTTGGCCCTTCTACACGTCCTCTATCGTCAGATTTTCTCTTTTCTGCTGGTAAGAAAAGCTCAACTTCTCTTGCTTTGCCCCGAGAAGGTCCAACTTTTGGTCTCTCTTCCTCCAGCACCACATCGTCCATCTCTCTCGGCCCCTCCCTCAGGGCGTCCGTCTCTTTGCTCCCCTCCCTCTGCAGCTCCAGGAGCAGCTGGTGAGTGGATCTATCGGGCAACATGCTGTAGACTTTGGCCACTTTCTGCTCCATGTACCCGCAGCTGGCTGCCGCCTTCTTCACCACTCCCAGGACGAAGTCTTCCTCGTGTCCTTCCCCTTTTTCCTCGGCGCCACCTTTCCCCTCGAAGTGTCTTGCGCTTCCCGTCGCTCCCTCTCCCACCTTATCTCCCCCTACTTCCATTTCTTCGTCTTCTCTGTGCTCCGTCTCGCAGGGTCGATTCCTCTCGCTTTGATTCGAGGCAGCGCCGTCTTGACCTTTACTTCTCTGCTCACGGTCAGTGCGATCCTGCTCCTGCTGAACCACGTCCAGGATCTGCGAGGCCTCTTTGGGTCCCGTTCGGGCGAGGACTCGCTTGACGACATCCTCCGTGTACCCCATGGCTGTGAAGAACTTCAAAAGAAGCCAAAACTCCTTGTTCCCCACTGACAACTGCAGCTCCTGTTCTTCCTCCTCTCCTCGTGCCTCTTCCATCTTGGTACCCAACTCCGGCTGCTCTTCTCCCACCTCCTGAGGAGAACCTATGAGTCTTACCTCCGCCCCCTCTGCCCTCCCTCGGGTGACCCCAGACACTAACTGGAATAAGGAGTCCTCGGATGCGGAGTCTTTCCCCGAACCTGCAGTCAAACCTTCAACCCACCAGTCTGCAGTCATAGAAGGCTCAGGAAGTGTGTACGTAACGGTGAAAGGTTTGTCCCATATATCCTCCGAATCCTCGTGTGATCCCGCTGCCGCATTTCCATCCGTCAGAGCCGGGCCGGGGCTCGATCCAAGCCCCGATTCTCTCACCAAATCCAGCAGGATTTCCTTCACCGACCCCGGCAGCACTAGAAGATCCAGGATGTGCTTGTCCTCCCATTTCTCCACCAGAATTTTAAACGCCCGGCGTGAATCCAGAGACTCGCCGGGTACCCTGTCTGCGGCCTCCGGGTGCCTGGACTGCGTGCCCTCGTACCGCCCCACCAGGTCCGTTATAAGGGAGTAGGCTCGCACCACCGGCTCTGCAAGACCCGATATCAGCAGGAATCCTGTGGAGCCAACCTGGTTTGGCGAGAGGAAAACAGAATGACATCATGAGTTCTATCTTGATGTTTTTAAAAATGTTAATAATAGATTAAAATTCCCCTGTGACAACATCCCAGTGTTACATCAAGTTGTTACTTCATAAGGGGTGAGACACATTTTTAGCTGATGACATTGACTAATAATGTAATTTCTTGTAAGAATAACAAGAATGCAAGATATCACGTTATTGGTCAAGATCGTTATTGCATCATCAGTCAAAGTGACACACTGAGTATGCTGGTGGGGGATTTGCACAATGACAGAAGTGAGTGATACTGAGTGAGCGTACTGCTGTCTGGAGTCATAACTCACTAAAATGTGAACACGCAGACGGGCTACATATATTTCTAAATTCACCATAAATAGCAAATAAATCGCTTAGAAATTATAGAATAAAGACGCTATATATTAATCCAGAAATTGCCTGAGAAATAACACATTTTAAAGTTTTCTTCAGTATTAAAGTAATGCAGTTATAGTTGTCTGTACATCAATGGATACATTGCAAATAGGAACTTCTAATAGTTAAATCGGCATACTTTTAATGGTGACAAATTACCAAAATGTAAACAAATATAGGCCGGAAATTGAGGCTCAAGTTGCAGTTGAAATGTTCTCACTCACTGGTTCTGATGTCTCTTTATTCTGAGTGACTGAGGACAAAAGTTCCAATCCTAATTGCTTGTGATTGTGAGGAATTTAATTTTTGAAGCTCCTAATTATGGATATGATGTGATACAGTGTATTTACTTGTAGGAGTTTGAACCAAGTAGTGTGTTTGAGTGTCTGTGTGATCAGGGTTGAGGAATGTGCTGAGAGCGGGGGTGTTGTGTGACAGTGGCTGCGTGAGGTGTTAAGAGTAACAATGGGGCAACGGCCCAGGAGGGGCTTGTTGGACTTCAGCCAATCAATGAGCTGATCGATGAGCTGAGGAATGTATCTTTGGGGGGACAAAGGGTTTGAAGCTCTGGGGGATTGCAGATCTTCTGCGGGCGACCGAGGAGGCAGACCAGCCTCCTGGGTGGCTCGGATTGGATCTCACATTTCATGGACTTTATATGTTTGTTTTGTTATTAGTAGTGTGATTCGGTTTGTAACTGTTTGTATCTGTCTTTATGCTTCTTGGATAATAAATCCATTTGATTTTGACTTAAACCTGCTGTTGTGTTTTGGAGGCGATTGAGAGCACATGGCTGCAGGAAGGAAGGGGGGCGATTTCTCCCTGGGTCTAGAAGTTATGGCCTGACATGATCCTCTCTTTTAGCGAATATAAATGGTATGAATGTGGCCTAAACAAAGACCCAGAATGCAACACTCACCACTATATGTGCCGAGGTGTTTTTCGTCAGGCAGTCCATGAACAGCCCTCGGGCTCCACAGAAGATGCAGTGAAGAATGCCGGGATAAGAAACCTCCTGCTGCTCCTCCTGGTTCACGAGTCCTTTCACAAATAACTGCAAGACAGGAATATTTTACATTGTTATCGGATTGTTATATTATTACTGTAGTAGTGTTGAAAATACTGGTTTAATATAGTTTTTTTTAATGTTTGGTTTACATTTACGATTTCAATAAAGCAGACACAGAGTTTGTTGTTACACTGATTATTAACGTATAATGGACACTTCTGATAGTAAAAAGGCTACAGTACTATTCAGAACGAGGTTAACCTGTTTAATTACGGACTTTAGTGACGCAGCTTTAAATGATACGTGCTCAATTCTTCAAGTCGCTCTTGAAATGACAGGCAGGTATTTGAACGACGGCCACGTGTTTCGCAAAATTTCCCTCTTTGTGTTTTGTGCGGCTCAACAAGGAAACAGTGTCCAGGAAAACACAAAGAGGGGAACTTCTATTACAATGAGAGTGACCTTCGGAGATACCCGATTGATTTGACTAACTCAAACTGCCGAAGCTTTATTTAGCTTTCAGATTGACTTTTGAGTGGTTTTTTTGGGGGTGTGGAGTTTTGTCCCACATCACTTTTATGAAGAACAGATCTTTAAATGTCCAGCATGAACACGAGGAACAATTACAGCAAGCACATCCTGCTTCAATGCTCATCGTCAACCTGCTTCTCAGAGCTTCCTGCACTTCACCGCTGTTATTTGCAGCAGAGTTATGCTAATAACTGCAAGCCATACGCTACTGTGTGACCTTTAAAGGCCAGCTTCAACATCACAGGCAGGTTTCAGTCTGTGGATTATCTCTAGTTCTGTAATCTGCTAACCCAACACTTATGAGACCTGTAAAATTTAAAATATTAATACGTCAAATATTGGCTCAGGTGCGTCTCTGAGAAAAGATGAAATACACCTGCACATATACACGTATCCTCTTAAATGTGCTGCACAATCATGTGATTTCTTTTGTTGTTGTTGTTGTCAGTCGTCGTCTTCTGACAGAATTCATTCACCACGTTTGAAACCGAAACTCAATTTAGATTTATGATAACATTTTAAAAAACCCTCGATGAGTCATTTACCAGTACGGTGCCTTTAGACTACCAGTAATGTCAATAAAAACTTCCCAAATAAAGGGTTACACTCGTTCACAGTCAGGACTGACTATAAAGATTGTGTGCTTTAAGTCATATTAGTCTAAAAATTGTTTCAGTATCGTGCTAAATTCTTTTGGGCAATGACTCAACTCTTATCTTATCTTGTGCTACCAAAACACAAACTTCTCGGCTTACTTTGGCAGCCTTCACGTCGTCGCTCAGCCCTCTCAGCTTCAGCCATATCTGCCCGTTGTTGGCGTGAGACGGCTCGTCCGCCCCGATCCCAAACGTCACCCAAAATATCCGCTCCACGGTGTCGTGAAGGGAGGTCAGAGATCCCCGCAGCATCCCGGCACACGCAAACTCATCCTCCACCTCCGCTTCTCCTCCACCTCCATCACCTCTCTCACCATCCATCCCTCGTTCTTAAAGTCGCAGTCAAAAGTTGAACATACTGTGAAAAAAACAAACATAAACACGACATGTATTTATATTTTGTCTGTGATCGTTGATTCACTGTAATGCATTATGTTGTTTATCTAATGGAAAACTATAAAAACATTCTACTCTCAGGTATCACCCTCACTTGGGTTTTGAGTTTAATTTAGATCCAGTTGTTTTTGGTTGTTACATGTTTGAATGTAACAACCAGGACATCAAATAAACTACAAGTCCCAAGAAGCACTGGTATGAGAAAAAAGTCTGTTAAAAAAATACCAATTTTAGTTGAAAGATTTTTGAATACAGAGCCTTTATCACTTAAGGAAACCTTTCCTTTTTTACTTTTCTCAATAACTGATGTATCAAACTTAAAATACATATTGTATGAACATATATTTAAACATCCATAATTAACAACCACATAATTACTGTTATAGCTACTGTTAACAGGACCACTCTTGTGTTTTCTGTATTAGGTAGGTCTAACACTGACATTATCATTATACATTTACATTAAAATATGAATCTATAGTGGGGAAAAAATACTTCTTCCAACTTCTCCCACTACTGTGATGCATTTCCTTCTGTTACAAAGTAACAACACCATGAAGAGACAACACACAACCTCAACAAATAGGCCAAAAAACACCACAAAGTGTGTGTGTGTGTCTCTTGCTCATGTGCGGTAAAGATGGTGGATCCTTCTGCATGTCTGTGCCCAGTGTCTCATAATCCAACCGTGACTGTATGAAGTAGTGTTGACGACATGTAATTGATCAGAAGAAGGATCACTAGTTGTTGCCCAGGCAAGTTGCTACAACTAACAAAAGCCAGGTCTCCCTCAGTGCATTTTACATTTGATCACATGGTTTTTACATTTTAAAATCTTGATCTTGAAAACTAACACTTCTCAAAATAAAAGTAGTGGATTAAAAACACTACTTCCGTCTTAAATGCCAAGTATAAAGTAATGAAATGTACCTCTCCACCTGGTGTGCACACCTTCGAACTCCAGACATGTAAACAAGTCTGCGGTGTGTTTCTCTCTCCGTTCGTACACAATTAATAATGCACCGACAGACTATGTCCAACTTGTTTACCTGTTGACTGACATTTCCTTTTGTTCGACAACAAATCGTATTGTTATCGCGCACAGCTAAATGTGGACTATTGCCAAATGTAAGGACTGTGAAACATGTATCTCTCTATAAATAGACTGAGCGTGTTTTTTTTAGCAAATTAGGAGCGGTAAATTCTGCTGGTTTTAACTATGAAAACATTATATTTGTTCCCTGTCTCGTTTCCTTACGTGAGGTCGATCGCTCTCGCTCCTTCCAAAGTTTCGTTTCCAGAGAGGCAGCTCGGCTTCAGGCGTCCGCGCGCATTAAAAACACGCAACAACAACAATGTAGCCGATCGGACCAAAGTTCAGCGTGCTCATCGGAAATTAAAAGTGGGACGGAAAGAATGAACCGACCCCCAACACCCTCCTCTCCTCCGATAGTCGACGAGGAAGCTCCGTGGAAATCCCGAAGAAGACAAAACCGAAACTAAACGGAAAAAAACAGCCCATGCAACGTTCAGGACGGATGATTCTGGCTGGATTTCGCAGTTATAGTGTCCATATAACACCCGAATAATATTCCTTTAATAATGCTATACACTCAAAATGTATCTAAGATGTATTTTAACATCCTAAAAAAAAGAAATCAGATAATGTCCGTTTAATGATCGCATTAATTGGACATAAATGATTATTATAACAGAAAATACGTGATAAAAGTGTACATTTAAAGCCTGTATTTTAAGACATGTATATATATATATTTGTGTCTGGGTCAAACAGGAGATAAAGGGGATTTCCACTGACGTCAGAAGCGGGGTTTTTCTGTGCTTTTTTTTCTTCTTCTTTTTTTTTTAACATTGACAGACAGACTTTGTAAAAGCAGATGCTGGCGCCTGTTTGTAACACATTTCTGTCTCGACATCTCCTAATACAGGAATTCATTCCCCCAAAACGCACTTTTATTTGTTGACACTCCTTGGTGCAGTTTTATCTGTGTCAAAAACAGGAAGAGAGATGTTGCCTCCTGCACTACACATCCTGTCTTACTCTGCTCGGGTAAACTGGGTTCAAAATACTTTAAACCCAGTGACAATGAAGTTATTCTAATAACAAGTAGCCTAATGTCTGTGTGTGTGTGTGTGTGTGTGTGTGTGTGTGTGTGTGCAGTGGTGGAAGAAGAACTCACATCTTGTACGAAAGTTAAAGTAATACTGCAGTGTAGAAATACCTTTACATGTATTCAAAATGTTATAGTAAAAGTACACAAGTACTGGCATCAACATATACTCAAAGTATCAAAGTGGCCCACTTATTAAGCAGAATGTCCCATTTCAGAGTACAATATGTTATTATTGGATTATACTTAGTGATGAATTAATGCGTTCATCCCTTTAATGTTACAGGTGGAGCTCATTTTGATTATTTTATGTCCTGCTGAGTATCTTAATCTTCATCATAATTTACGTGTTGATTATATTTAGTTTTATGAATCTATATGCAAAGTACCGAGAAAGTGAAGTAAGTGCCATATGTCCTAGTGTGACCTCAATGCAGAGCAGTTCTATTGTGTTGTATTGCATTATGTAATCCAGGTCTGGTGTAATCCTCAACGATTTAAAGAAATCTCACCTATTTCCTGTAAATCATTAAGCAGACTCCGCCCTCTGCTGGCAAACCTCGAAATAGCCTCAAAGGTCTTTTTTAGATCTTTTATTTTTGTGTAAACTTCAGTATAATGTCCATAAAAAAGCTTGTGCTTGTGATGTATAACATTGAAGGATATCATACCTGTCTGTCTCTTCCTATATATCAAATAAGGCCATAAAAAGTACATTTAAAAACGACTTGATCACAGCAAAACAATGAGAATTGGTTGGGCCTTTATCTGTTTATCAGATTTCTCATAATTAGAGGTATTTAAAGTGTTAAAACTAACTCATGTTGCAACTGTAATCAAGCTCCACTAAAAGGAGGAAAACACTTTCCACAAATGAAATCATATGAACAACATACTTCAACATAAGCAGCCATTAAATCTGACGAGGAAAAGGGTTAAATAAAAGAAGAAGAAAAAATAAATCCTTCTGTCGTGACACACTTGGTTGTTTGCTGAGCAGTTTGGAAGCAGAAGTGGAAAAAGTAGTTTCACTTCTGTTTAGGTGGAGGAGGAGCTGCTGCGAGCAGAGAGTCAGGGTTGTTACACCGGCTTATACCTCCGTCGACACGGTTGAATGATGAGGAAGAGTATATCCCTAAGGGTGAGTGGTTTCCCCATTTAAAAAATATCTCCTTGATAAACTTATTAGTGTTTAAAGTGTCTGTGTTGATCAGGAATTTGTCAGACTTTGTGTTTTCTACATTTGAGTCTCTGTTATCTTTTCATTTTATGTTACAGTAATGTAAATCCATTGTGTTCAGCTCATAGGTTCAGACTTTAAAACTAAAATTTTGTAGAGTTTAGTCCTCAGGAGGTGGACAAAATAGTAGGGACCTGCTAGTATGATGTAATCCCAACACAACAAGACAAAGCACTGAAGAGTTAAGCTGACACAAGAACATCAGTGAGGGTTATTAGATTTTACAGGTGTTACTATTATTCTGTCCACCCCACGGGGGCTTTATGATGTGTGTCAGGTAGCCTGAGCAACAAAGAATGTGGTTTCCTGTTGTGTTGAGTACGAGTACAACACACTCTCGGGTGTTGTGTTTGGCCAACATACTATATTCATGTATGTCACTCTAATGATATGTCTGAGAATAAGAATCAAAGCCAGACTTTATCATTAGAAAAGTAGAAATGTTAAAAGTGTGTGTGGGTGTGTGTATCGTCTTGACAATATGAGCCCTGCTTTCTAAATCTTGCTTAAGCAATCCTAAAAAACAAATGTTAACCAGCCTCCCCTTCCTGAGGAAAGATCCTCTTTCGAGGAACAATTTCAGTCTTAAACAAACAGGTTTTTATGATCATGATTCATTTCCTCCTCCAGTGAATTATGTCCAGCTGTCAAGTTTCTTTCCTGATCGGAGAGTCCAGCCTGGAGGGCTGGAAGGTGATTGGCTCCGGGGGTTTTGGAAAAGTCTTCAAAGCCAGGCATCTTCAGTGGGGCTGCGACGTGGCCATCAAACTGCTTCATAATGACGACAGGTGAGTTGTTAACAAAAGAGCTTTCTGTTTATGATCAAATAAAGGTGCGACTTACCCATGATGCAAACACACACACACACACAGGACCAGCGCGTCTTTGCTGCGGGAGATCAACATGATGCGTGAAGGGAGCAGCCCGTTCGTCATTCTGGTCCGAGGGGTCTTCAAGGGCCGGGCGCCCTCCTCGGTCTCAGATCAACTGGGCCTGGTCATGGAGTTCATGGAGAGAGGATCAGTGGCCTCCCTACAGGTAACCACCGGTGGAGGAAGTACTCTTTGACTTAAACAACAATACATTTAAGGATGATTTTACACTTTTCAATGCCAGTGTACATGTAGTAGGAACACGACAGCACAATCGCCACTCTTTGTAGATCTGTAACTATTGAAACGATCTTACAGGACAGCTTACACGGAGCTCCACCCTGGCCGCTGGTCTTCAGACTGGCTCACCAAGTGGCTCTGGGTATTAACTTCCTCCACAGTCTGGCCCCGGCCCTGCTCCACCTGGACCTGAAGCCCAGCAACGTGCTGCTGGACAGCTTTCTCAATGCCAAGGTGAGTCCAAGGCCCGCTTACTTCATATCGGTAGATTAGTTTGCCCTCTGGAATTCCTACCTTCAGATAGCAAACGAAACACTACGATTCTTAGTTCCAGGTGATTATACACCGATTAAAACATAATTATGAATATTTTATTCTATTTCTGCCAAGGAATCTCACTAAATGTTACTCACTGTTCCTTTATCAAAAAGAAACAGACGTGGTTTCCCTCTGAATGTTGTAACTTGATAATAAGCAGAAATGGCGTTTGATAAAAAGGTAATGAAAGGGTTTTATTATTAAACAAGACACACACTCCAGGCCCTGTCATCCCATGCTGTGATTAATAAGGGAAGTAAAACTGATCATGGCCTAAATGAGACAACTTGCTGATGTAATACATTAATTCACAGTTCAGCATATGACACAAAATGTGTCACGTCCCACTGAAAGTAACATTTGTATATAATATCCAAAGGGAAGTTATGATCCTAATTTCTGCAACACCACTAATAATTTGAATTTTTGCACAGTAAGCTGCCCGCTAGCCGCCTCCTTCATCTCTTATGCTTATTTTCTCTCCAGCTCACAGATTTTGGCCTCTCACGGTTTTACCGCAGCGTCACGCGGTGCTCCAAGAAGGACAGCGAAGAGGAAGGGGGGACGATCAGCTACATGCCCCCGGAGGCGTTTGACGTGTCGTACAAACCGACCCAAGCCTCCGATATCTACAGGTACAAGAACCAGCACTTGGATAAAAGCATTTTACTTTATCATATAAGGACCAATAATGAGTGTTGTTTTACAGCCAAATGAGGGAAGTGGTCTGATTTGAATGTCCTAATTCTCACACAAGTGTCAATTTACAGATGAAAACAAACCAGGGCGGTGTTGTTATGATATAATCAGTAATCCTGGCATGTGACTCTCTCTGCCTCTCTTTCAGTTATGGTATACTCTTGTGGTCCATTGTCACTGGGACACAACCATATCCACGTAAGTCACTATTGTGTCTTTATAGCTTTCGTAGCCTCTCGCTCACCACAAATGTTCAAAACATCTTCTTTGTTTTTTCTCATCTGAGTGGGAGGTTGTTGTTTTTTTGTGTGCATTATGACCATAATGACACGAGGTGCAAGAACAGCGGGAGTTTATAAGTGTAAACACACCTACTTTTTGTTTTCTAGATTGTGAACTGTCTGTGTTTGCAGCTCGTAAACAAAAGTCACGAGGATTAAAGGGTGCCTATTTTATTGCAATTGTCACGAGGTTTTGTTTGTAGAAAAATTTGACAATTATTTTGGTGGCAGTGCAAAAATATTGAGATATTATCACCTTATAAAGTTAGTATGGCAAACACACCCAGCAGACACAGAGCAACATTAGCGTTCATTTGTAGTTGTGTTTATGTCCACCTTATGACTGTAAGTCTATATTCACTCTTCTTTTAGCTCTGTTTTGGTCTCCACCAACTGCTTGATATTACATCCTGCAGTAAATCTGCAGGTTGTAAAATCAAAACAACTGGCGAAAGATGCTAAAAGGCTCCTGAGAGTAACTTCAGAGTTGGTCTATGGACTTGTCACTCCATGAAACACCTTTTGTGTTAAACGTTGTTGTTGTGTAATACATTGTTTATGTCAATCCTTCCTCCGCTATAGATGCAAAGTCCAGCTTAGTGCGGATTCGTATCCCCGAAGGAGACCGTCCATCGCTGAAAGAGATCAGGGTCCAGGCGGTTGAACGTGCAGGGTTGACGAGACTAATGGAGCTCATGAAGAGATGCTGGGACACCAAACCCAAAGAAAGGCCCTCTGCCCTTGGTGAGAAAACTCTTGAGCTGACACAGAAAATGACACTTTCAACAGCTTGCGGTGCCTGGTCCTAACGTCACATCTTTAATCTACTTTGTGCGCAGCGTGTACAATTGAGGCAGAAGAACTGTACAAGATCCACAAACATAATACTAATGATGCTGTCCATCAAGTGCTGATGCAACTGGTGAGGGAAAATATTTTCATAATAGTCATGCTGAGATGATGTTGAATTGTGACATGATGTACGTCTTTCTCTTCCTCTTTCCAGGACCAAAAGGAAGACGAAAGAATGATAGAGCAGATTGAGAGGGTTCACATCACTCAGGTTTCAGGTCTGCTTTCATGTCATTTCCCCTAACCACTTATAAGGATGTTTTTTCTTCAACATAGCTATTCCCTTTCTGGATAGATAGATACCCCTCTCCCCTCTGTACGCTAAACAGAAGAAACAGGGGAAAACATCTCCAACATCTCTAAATCTCATGTATTAACACGTTATATCTTGTTTAATATGTACAAGAGCCAGGCTAGCAGACCCTAGCTGTTTACCCTGTTTCTTTATGTCTTCATGCTAAGCTAAGCTAACTATCTGCTTTCTGTAGCTGGCTGTATTTAACGGACACACACATGTGTGGTATCAATCTTCTCATCTATTTCTCGGCAAGAAAGCGAGCAGCATATTTCGGTACTATTTCTTTAGCTCTTGTTTATTTCAGTTATGTAGTTTGTGGAGTTTATGTATTTTGTGTTTTCAGGTTTGTGTTTTTAAACTTTAAACTTTGATTGCGTCAAAAGGTCCGTAGTATTCATAACAGAATTGTGGACTAGAGTTAAGATTATTTTGTTAAAATAGTATTTCCAAAGTCAGGAAGTCGTTTGACTGATTGAGTTTGATGGAACCATTTTTAGCGAGATTAAAAATTGCTGTTGCAAAACAACAAAAATGTTATTTTATATTTTCTTTTGCAGGGAGTAAACGTGAGGAGGCGAAGATTCGTGATACCGTGCCAACAGGTCGCCCACCAGTCCAGGTGAGATTCAGACGAATCACACGGTCGCTGCAATAATAGAATAAATAGAGACATTATTGTATTTAACACCTAGGAAATGTTTAAATCAACAGACCACACTTTAACGTCATCATTCAGACTCTTCCTAGTACAGTGTTGACGACATTGTTATACTTTTGACCCGAGAAGAAAAACTCACAATGTGGTCTGTGAGGTATTAATTATTTTCTTTGCCACAAATTGGCCAATGCTGTGATGTTTCTGCACTGCACTTTTTTAAAATTTTTTGCTGCCGTGAGGAAATATTACATGCATCACTTCCTGTTGCGCCAGGGGAGTTTTAACAGGAAAGAGTGTTGAACACAGTGAATGTAAAAAAGGCCTCGATGAAGCGCATGAAGTTTGGAGCCAGGTTGGGCAATAGGAGATTGAATGTAAACATGAATATAACCAAGATTATAAATGAGAGATTATGGTCTTCGCTCTGTAACGGAGTTGTGATGTTTTGGATTAACAAAACACAACTGACCAGTTATTTCCTATTATACAAAATGTATGTGCAAACTGGTGATCAACTGTAGTCTTTAATGAGATCACAGTGCAACTCCTTTACTTGCTTCTGTTGCAGGAAATGGCTGGCGGTGGGACTGCAAATCGAAGAGACATACCAAGAGTCAAAGGTAAAGAGGAAGTTGGTGTTGAAGCCGCGGAAGAAAGAGGGGAACTTGTGTTGTTAGATCACAAATCGGACAAACAAATCAAGTATCATGACATAGTGTTTTCAGGTAATTGTCTTCCCCTTTTCAGATCTGCCTTCATCTCGACCTTCAAGCGTGCGTTACGATGACGAGAGCCGCCATTCGACGGACGGCAAAGTGAAAAGGTCCTCCGTTTGCCCCATTGAACCGTTACCGCCGTCTCCTTTGACTGAGAGGTCCCCTCAAGGCAGAGCAGCAAAACCTTCCCTGCAGGGTTTCAAGCGAAACCTGTCTTCACAGTATCACGTGGGTGGTTTTATTTTGCATCACTGCATTAAAGATACGTTCGAGAGACCAAACTCTGCAGTAAAAATACTCTGTATTTCCTTTTCCAAAGAGGAATTTAAGTAGGTTTCCTTCAGTTGATTTGTAATTAAAAGTGAACTTTCACACAGAACAATCTGTCTTTATAAGTGTTGTAGTATCTTAAGTGTCTTAAGTAATCAATTCTCATGAACACAGCATTTATTGAAGACTCGAAACTAACACTTTGACCTCCGCTGCTGCTGTTTTCCTCTCTTTTTATTCGTGTATATCTGCAGCGTCAGTTATCCGGCCCCGACACTTTCTCCTGCCAACCGGCCGCTGCACGCGGAGTCCAGATGCACTTCTGCAATGTTACCGGATTACAGCACGGCAACAACAACATCATGCACATCCAAGTTACAGAGCGCTCAGAAAGGAGACGGCATCCAACAGCACCGCCCAGAGTCGACCTCCCGCCGCAGCGTCACGGAAGCTGCAAGGACAAGGCGGGAGGGGTTCGCTGAGTTCTCGTGGACCTTTGCGAGTTTAAGTTCTCTCATTTCCTGATACATGTTTTATTAGAGAAGTATGAAGGCGTAGCTGCGTTTTCTGTTTTTGCTTTTCAAATCTGGACAGTCTTCATGTTGTTCAAGAATGATGTTTCAATATATATCTTTTTAATAGTATTTATTTATTCTGCTTCCTTTGTTAGCACATTTAAAACCAATGAGCAAGAATCTCACACCTCCTTTTTGCCCTGTCAGCAGTGTTAATGTGAGCAGAGTCCGGTCATATGGTTTGGCTCTTCCACCAACTGTTGTCAACAAATATCCTCAGTCGCAGTGCCAGCCTCACAATCAAGTGCCAAAAAATCACCATAACCACAGATTGATAATTGATCTAAACAGGTCGATATATCGGTGCACATATGACCGACCGTTTGGTCTGTCAAGGAGGTTAAAACAAAGAATCATTTGTATTATATTGATCTATCATCTCTAATGTCTTGCAGTTGATGTAACGGTGCTGCCGTAGGATGACGGCATCTTGAATACTTCGGTCAGTAGAAGCACGATGTAGCTTCAATGAAGTGAAAGAAGAGAGAATTGCTTTATCTTAAAGGATAACTCTTCGATGGGATTATGGGATATAAAATATCGCCAGACTTTGATCCTAAAGGTACTTAAGTGGAAATATAAAGTAAGGCAAACATTGTATTAGTTAAAAAGCATAGTTTACTTAGATTTAGAAGTCTTCATACATTTGTACTCAAGTGTTGTGTTTTTTTATTTAAATGTTTGGTGTAATTTCGAACACCAAAATCAGGGTTACTTGACAACTTAATTTAAGTTTTCATATTTCAGGTGGTAAATATCTCAGAGCTGCAACGATTAGTCGATTAATCGGCATCAGTTTTGATAATCGATAAATAGTTTAAGTTATTTTGAAGGCAGAATTCTCTGGTTTCAGCTTTTTAAATGTGGGAATTTGCATTTTTTCTCTTTTTGAATATATTTGGGTTTTGAACCGTTGGTCGAACAAATCACAGATCTGTAACAATTACAGGATTCACTGATGCTACTTTTTTGGAAATCACTTAATCACTCAATGCCAAAGATATCTCAAGTTGTAGGTTCTCAAATGTGAGAATTTTGCTGTTTTTCTTATTTTTTAATATATATCTTTGTAAGCAGAGTATTTTTGAAAAGTCTTGCTTTTTAATAAAATGAAATATAAGATCCTGTCCCCAATATTGTTGATACAGTCCCTCAACTCCTTTTGTTAATGATTCTATTTTGGTGACATGTTGTGTGGTGTTGACTTTCCTTGAGTGTCTCTAGATGGCACTCTTGTTCAGCTAGTGTCTCACTATACATGTGTCTTTCTTTCTTTCTATTCCAAATAAATCACTTCTGTTGCTGCTGAAAATGTATAATTCATCTCTTCCAGTTCACCAGGGAACTTTTTCCCAACAGCAAAACAGCTGTTTCTAAGAAAAAAACTATTTAATGTATCGTTTTATATCTATTTATATATATCAAAGCAAAAAAATCAAATCAAAATGAACATTCATACATATTTTATATGATATTTGATGTCATTTGTTACAAGGTGTTTATCTAGTTTTTGAACCAAAGTCTTTGTACTCCAGAAACGAATATCCACAGTGCTAACACAGGCCTCTGCTGTGCACCGGGGCGTTGACACTGATCAGTTGTGATGGTCCGGTGTGAACTCAGCAGGCTTCTGGCACCGGACTCCTTCCTCTACTGCCAATCCCCCATCTGCCACCTGATCCACCGCAGAGAGACGCACAGTCACCGAGTGTCACCGGGATGACAAACTCACACACGACTGTGTGTTCACAAAGGGTTTCACAATAAAACTGCAGTTTAGACGGTTGAATTACATATTCAAGGATCAATCGTGGCGTGTGGACATGTTTTTGGTCAGAATCTTGTAGAGGAAGATCTCACTCACCCTTAATAATAACTTTTGGAGCACACCACAGGGATGCATGGTATTTTTAGGACAACAGTTGGGTCTGCATCAAGTGATTTATGGAGCATATGTGCAGTGCAGGTGTTTTGGAGGACATTATGTGGTGAGCATGTCCTTGTCAATGTTAGGTTAATGAACTGTATGGAAATGTTCAAATGCAGGCTACGCATAAAAGAAGTTGAGTTTGGAATAGTTAACACGCTAGGTTTGGCTTGTCTTGAATTAAGGAAAATAGACACTGCTTTAAACCGCTGAACTTGCCTAAGAAGCGTCAGGTTTTTCTCTTTTCTTCAGCATCAAAGAAATCCACTGATAGTTTTCTGTACACCCATGGGTACATTGCAAACAAGAACTGCTAATAGCTCATTTGTAAGTGGATAGACATAGATGGAGAGGCAACAGACACAATACGTTTCTTTATTAGATAGATCTGCTACCTTGTATTTCATGCATTAAAAGAAAATCCCAAACCTCTGACAGGCTGACTAAGCAAGCATAGATGACACATTACAACAGTCAGACAACGGCGAGACATAAAAAGTGGAAATGGGAATTACATTCAGGATAATTTGGTGTTGAGGGATCTCACTCATTCTAAAGCATCAAAGCAGTTTGATGGAATTCAACGGGTATCGATTAATGCTTCCTCCTTTCTGTGAAATCTTTATTTGCACACCCTCGACTATGACAAGAACACAATCCTACCTCAACCTAATCTACAAGGGGAACACCAGAAACCCAGAGAAAGTGGAGTACTTCCACCCCCCCATCAGGTTCCCCCTCTCCAGTTTGAGGGAAGCCTTGTCCCCTCTCTCCATCATCACCAGCCCGGCGTTGGTGGCAGCTTCTCTGGTAACGTCCTGGTCACCTGCGAAGGCTGAAATCACCGGCCAGCCGTTGAGAACCAAACTCACCTGTGAAAAGATGGGTGAGGAGATGGAGCAGGTGAGCAGAAGGGGGAACCATTTGTCAGGAAATGATAGTCAGAAAACATAGAATATATATTTAATCCTGTAGAAACAACATTAGTGAGCTTTAGTAGGTTGATTTTGTTACTTTTGGACAGAACAAGGCTCTGCAAATAAGCATGCTCGTCAAAAGTGTCAGGCCATGCCTTTAAGCTGGTATTCTTACTTGTATTGTCTGGCGGTTATAAACTTTGACAACATGAAAGCTGAAACTGTAGACCCCTTTTCTAGGGGCCACAAAGATACTCCTCGCTGGATCAAAATGGCTGCCAACATTTACTAGGATCTAGGGAGAAGAGGAGATGAAGAGAGAGAGTAAATACAACAAACAGGCCCTGAGCCAAGCTGCTAATACTCTATTAATGTTTTGGAATATTTGATCAAAATTAGATTTTGATTTTGGAAAGTTCAGCGCTAAACTATTGCAAGGAAAACAAGAAAGGTAGGAGATGACTAAACGTTCCGGCGTACACCGACTACAGGACACAAACCAGACGTTGTGAATCATTATTTGTCTGGTTTGTGCATCGTTACATTTAATAGTCCTCTTCCACAGCTCCAAGACGTTGCTTAAAATAACTCAGCCTCACCACTCAGTATCGCTATCGCGCAATACTTTCAGGCTAACAAATAAACACCAATTAAGATGTGACACATGCAGCGTATTGTTTGTGAGCTCTACAACTTCCAGTATTTGACAAGACACTGGCATGTGAGTCATGTGAGTTAAAGCATTTATCGGCACTAACACGACGTACTCTCAGTGCTCACAGTGTGACTGGAGGTGAGTCGAAACTTGTTTGATCAATTCTGTTTAGTGACAGCAGCAAGCGGTAAAGTCAGTCCACCACTTTGCATTAACTGGAAATACCCAACAACTCCTGGATGGATTGGCGTGGAAGTTTGTTCGGACATTTATGGTTCCCAGAGGATGAATCTGAATGACATTGGTGATTCACTGACTATTCCTCTTGGGTCACCATGAGGTTGACATTTGTGGTTTTGAGTGAAATGTCTGGACAACTTCAGATTTCAATGCTAACATGACTTCCTTTTCCCTCCCAAACTTCAAAGACTGTTTAAACTATGGATTGCAAATCTAAAATGTAGCACCATTTTGCAGGCGCATGACCTTTTCCTTATCTCCAATATATTCAAAATGCAACTTCCTTGTATAAGTCAGAAGTAATATTTCAGAGCAGCTTACTTAGTTCATTGCTTCCTTCGTTTTTAAAATCAGAAGCAAAGACCAATCACAGACCAGTAGGCTGCATGCTACACCAAACTGCGGAGCACTTGGATTGATCAAAATGCCAAACTTGGGACTATTACAAGACTCTGAGCAGATGGTTGAAGTTGATGCTAACGTTGGATAAGGTAAAAAAAATGTTTTGTCTGTTCCCTTGATAAGCAAATGCCCCCTGAGCCTAGATCAGGCTGGCTTTGTGTAGCTGAGGTTCATCTAACATCTATATCATATGATGAGTAGGCAGACTGAAGTACAATTTAATCTGGATCCTGCTGCTGGTAGCAAGAACATTGTCAGAGTTAAAGGCATGAATTAAAATGAGGAAAAGGCACGTTCAAAACTAGCCAATGTCTGACTCATTTTGGATTCCCCCACCTGGTCAAAGTAGATGGTCATGGTGCGGTTGCTCATCTCCGAGGGTTCGTGGTTGGTGTTTCGGATGGCTGAAAACGCCACCCGACCGGTTCCGGACCTCACCGACATGCCCAGAGCGTTACCCGATGGCTCCGCAGAGGGGGTGGAGTCACACACCACCAGACACTTTCCCTCCAACACGATTGGCTCTGTGTCATTCTGGCAACTGACCTCTGAGGGCCCCCACTGGAACAGAAGCAGCAGTCCAGCAAAAAAGACTGAGCGAGGAGCAAGGTAGGGCGGAGAGGGACGAGATGGACAGGGCATTGTTCCAAATGACGGCGAGCTTTAGGTGTTTTGGGCGCGTAGTGACAATATGGCCACCACAAATCAGCGAGAGTGTGTCTTCTTGAAGAACACCTCACTTTAGCATCATAAGTTCACCTGGAAAAGAACACTTCAACTTCTCACATCTCATGGGATATTTAATGATTCAGGTAATCCTCAGCAAACAGTTCTGCCAACAGTGGTCGGAGATCAAGTCTATCTGACTTAGTTGGCACCAGGGTGGCTGCTTCCCATAACAGCAGACAGAAAGTCCTTATAAGTAAAGGTGTAGGTTATCCAGCTTCTCACAGCACAGCGAAAATGGCCGTCAGCTAAACAAACTGGTTTTGGAAGCTTTCAAGGCTTCAGGCCTGTTTGAAGGAGCAGATCACAGGACACAATTTTGTGCATGAAAATCTTTTTCAGTATATGAAAAACAATGACATGCCAGAGGCGTGGCTACTTTAACACCCTTTTCTACGTATATTTTTTCAGAGAATTGTTGAGGACCGTTGGATTGACATTCAGATAACGATAAATTTACAGTGGAATTTACAGGGGAATGAGGTATTTTTTACCAACTAAGCTTAAAATATAGGTGTAAGCATATGTTTGCCTATGTAATGTGTGCATGTGATCACATATTATGTGTAAATTATCATCCAAAGTACATTAGGATCTAAATCAAACAGTAAAATCCAGCAACAACTGCATCAGAAATGGAAACTGTTGACTTTTCGTACCTTGGCGCCTTGAGTAAGGGAATGTCAGTGGACATTAAGCGGGAAATGATTTTTGCTGAAGTGGAAAATGAGTGGAAGTAGAAGTGATGAGGTAATGTTTTGGCCAGGAAGAGGGCATGTAAGTGCCAGCTGGACTCAGGAGGGGGGACTATCACTGTCCCACCACCAAGAGGCCATCTGTGGGTAAACATGCCCACTCTCTCTCCCCCTTCACCTTTCCAATTAAATCCCTGTCTCTGCACACATTATAAATAGAAATATTACAATACTACCTCACGCATTATGGGAATGGCAGATTTGTTGATCAGTAAACTACCATAATTCACACAGCAGCTGACTCTTCATGCACTGCAGGAAAAGCAATATCTTTATGATAAATGTAGTGAAAAATAAAGAGGAAGTCTTATATCGTTTTGCAGAAATAGATGAATCCCCACAAAAAGTGCCTCAACAACACACCCAACAATAAGCAGTGCAAGCATTTTCACAAAATCAACCATTGCAACATGAATAAAAGTATGATAGTTTGTTCATAAATGATAACAAAACACCCACCTCTCTCTTTAAACGTTGACTCTGCAGCGACATACAGAAACCAGCTTTCTCCAGTGAAGTTCGACCATCCCAAGAGTCTCGTTCCCTGTTTGGCTTTATCTTTTCTTCTCCCTCTCTTTTCGATTTGTCCCATCTCTCTCTCTCTCTCTCTCCAACTATCTCTCTGTTCCAGGAAACCCCTGTGGTCGAGCAGACGTTTAATCACATCACAAGCACCGCGTCCTTCTGTTCTCGCGCCTCCTCGACCCCCTACTGCACCTGTTTCCCCTCCCTCCACCTCCATCTCTTTCACCTCGGATATCACAAAAACGTTTTGGAAGGTTTGGAAAACAAAGCTCTTCATATGCAAAGGATTGGTTCATCTTGGTTACATGATTTTTAAATAGTGAGTCTGGATTAATAATTACACCCATGTTCATGTTGTGAATACTCAAACCTGTCTATTAGAAATTACAAATTAGGGCACTCACTGATTAAAGCACATTTCTTATTCTATAACACTTCTTCAGAGGCCGACAGAGTATCCATGACATTACACTGTCGATGTAGTTTGCCTGTATGCTGGTAATAAGTATTATTGGTACGTACTGTACTGGTACACCGTTAGTACAAAAGATGACACAACTTTGACAGTGAGTAATTACAGTCTACGTGGCAGACTTGTTTGACTCTGTAATGAAATGTGTTCTATAAAAAAAGCTGCCATGCATTTCCTTGTCACTGGCAATAGAGACAAAGAAATAGCTGAGCTTGTTCAGATGAGCAGTACAAACCGTACAAACAGTCACACTTTGTAATTACAGGGTTAGGGACGAACACTTACTTGAAAACTGCTTATTAAGTAGGAGAAGGACGGGAGTAGGGGTCTCCATCTTCATCTTCAAGGGAACACTAGATTCCAATGATTTTAAATAACAACCTTTAAAAACTTTAAATAAATAAAGGCTGAATATCATCTTGCTGTTGAAACATCCAAACATTTTAGTGGACATAAATGACGGTGCCAACTTTCCCCAATAGGGTTAAATTACAGCCGGTGAGTGGCTCCCGAATACTGGTTCAATACTGGACCTATTTCAGAAATCATCATCAACATCCAGGTTGAATAATACTGAAGTTGCCCTTTTTTTAAGGTTGCCAAAATACCTTTTGCTTTAGCCCCCCCGTCCACAACAGTATATTGCTTGGCTCCCATGCCAGGTAATGGGGGCGTGTCAACTACCATATACTTAAGGTAATAGACTGACTATGAATAAGTACCTCTTACAACCCCACCTCAAGACATCAAAAATATCTCTTTAACCAATTCCCTCAAAAAGCTGAGAGTTGAATCAGCCACACCTCCGTCTCTTTGATGATTGTCATGTTATGTTAAAGTTTAAATACATTACATTAAAGACGTATGAATTGCAATTTGCAAAATGACACAATGTCACAGTTTACATTTTTCAGAAGACAGCTTTTATTTACAGTTTCACAATTTGATTCTCAAATTATACATTGCCCATTTAGGCTATGGAATAAAGTTTCCCACCGCATGCAACAACATTTTATACAGGCTATATTTATATACCAAATATTTTGACATCAGTTAGCCACATCCATGACATATCATAAAGCTGATTCAATGGTTATGTCCTTCCTTCCCTGACTCTTTCTTCAAGAGGACAGATGATCAACTGGGCGGTGTTCTTCCCATCATCTTGAACACAGGGGTTGAAGTACGGGTTGATGGGCTCATTGAAGTCACACCCGCTGTAAGTTTTAATGTGTGTCTTTGTCTCTGCGTCGTAGAAGGACACCGATCCTTCCTCGTAGTCCAGGAACACGCCCACTTTCTGGGGGGTTTCTTGGAGGCGGAGCGTGACGGAGGGGCCGGCGCAGGTGCTGAGACTGCCGCTTCTCCGGCGACAGATGGCCCAGTAACCGCTGTCAGGACGCACCGCGATGGCCCCCTTCCTGTTGATGGACTCTCTGGACACGCCAAGATCCCACTCTGTTTTATCACCAACCTGAAACACAAATTTAAAAAATGCAGTCAGACACGCATGCTTGCTTTAAATTAAAAATGCTTTTGTGATTCACTTTAGGCCGATTGTGTTTGAATATACTACATGAAGAACTCTAGAATTAGAGGGAGTTTTATTTTAATTGTTAAACTTCTGTGGTGCTTGGATTTGTTTAAGTGCACTGTTTTCCTGTTTCTGAGCTCCTTACCTGAACCACCCAGTAGCGTCTTCCAGATGCAAAGCTTTGTTTCCCCAAGACGCAGGAGTTAAACCGCCGAGGATTGTCTGGGAGTGGAGCATTATTCTTCTGGCTGCTGACAGTTACCTGTGGATAATCATCGTTACTATCATTATGTGCATCACATTAAACACTCGCCTAATTTTTTATATGTTAATATGTCACATTACTTCCAACTCTATTACAGTAAAATGCAGCACAGCATGGGATGTTTTAGAACAGTAGCTCAACAATTTTAAGCTCAAACTGCTGTGTCAGAACAAATGTGAGAACTTTTAGTTTCCCAGTAAAACTGTGCTCTTCATGTATTTACTTTAATGATCATATAATCAGACATTACCTTCTTTCTGTCTGGAGACAGGACGAGCCAGCCTGAAGCAGTCTCAGGGTCCAGAGTGACATCGACTGCAGAAAAGAAACACAGTGAGTCATGTCGTAAGAAGAGGAACTAATCCAAGTTAAACTATTGCAATAAGCAATGGACGTGTGACTGTGAACATACCTGCATATTGATTCAGCTTGTCTGCTTCTGCAAAAGAAGAAAAAGATGATTTTTATGCACTGATTTTCACAACAATTCTTTGAAGAAGATAACCATTTTCTGCCAAAAGACTACTGACCATCTGCAGACAGCTTGTCTGAAAGATCCTGGCAGACGTCGACGAGCTTGGAGAAGGCTCTCGTCACCGTCCCACCGTCGCAGTTATCAGAGTAGACTGCGACCTCAGACCACTCTCTGGTGGATGGGAGTCGACTTAGAGACGGGAAACTCTAAAATGAGGAACAACGCACAGGTTTCTCATGATTACAGTTGTTGAAACGTTGACGCTGCACACACAGAAATGTTAAAATTGACTTCAGGTATCTAACCTGCAGGAGGTGAACTGGGCTCTGACTGTGCTCCAGCTGCTTCAGCTCGATGCCCCTCGTCTGCAGCTCACGGATTTCCTGCTCCAGCTCCTCCAACAGCTGCTCGGCTCTCCTCTCAGCTTCTTGATGCTTCTCCTCCAGCTCCTCGACCAGCCTGGCCTGTTGTCTCTCGATGATGGTTATCAGCAAGCCGCAGACCGTACCACTGCCCTGGACCTCCCTCTCTGTGATTATCTATCGATAGAAACGATAGAAACATTTACTTTTACAGATAAAAACAGACAAACATGACCAGTTATCCCTTTCTGAACATGCACTGACTTACTTTACTTTGATCCACTGAATTTCTTATCTGCTCCATTTTACTCCGTCTGGCACGGCTCATCTGTTTAATGCTGGCCTTCGTGTCTCTCAAAGAAGTCTGCAAAAGGTCAAAACATTTTAATTTTAGTGTTAATTGTTAAAGAAACATTTTAATATTCATACATGAGAAAAGCAAGTACAAGGACTGATTCTATTTTGGCAGATTTTATGAAGATGACGACTAAAAGAAGAGTTTTCTCACCTTGACCCTATTCCTCTCCTTCTCAATGGGTACTATGTTGTGGTGTTTGTGTTCCCTGTGTTCTGTGCATTTCACACAAACAGGCTTCTGGTCACTCTTGCAGAACATCGTCAGCGGCTTCCTGTGTTTTCTGCAGAGGTGACCGGTGATGAAACTGTCCGGATCCGTCAGCTGGTGCATCTGCAGCGCTGGATCCCTCAGGTGAGGTGTGAGGTGAAGTTCACAATAAGATGCCAGGCACGTCAGACACGACTTGACCGATGGCGATTTGTCTCCGCAGCAGATGTCACAGGGAACTTCCTCAGCCTCAAAAAGTTGGTTTAGGGAATTTTTCCTGCTTCCTGGCGCCACCACATGGTCCAAATTCTCCCTTTGAGTCCTTTTGATTTGAATCAAATTCTGTTAAATCTCAATTTAATTAAAACATTTTTGGTTTACTTTTGTTTGCTTGAAAACGTGAAAGATAACAATAACAAACCTTTTGTAGATCTCAATGATTTCAGCATACCCTAGGTTGATCCTGAGTTGTGGCCGCTTTTCAAATATCTCTTTGCACAGCGGACAGTCCGCCTTGCTCTTCGTATCCCAGAAGCCCTCGATGCAGTCCAGGCAAAAGTTGTGACCACACGGGATGGAGCTCGGGTCGGTCAGGATGTCCAGACAGATGCAGCACTTGAACTGCTCCTCAAACGACATGGCAAGGGCCATGTTTGTGACTGTAAAACAAGACATTAATAGGTGTCAAAGAAAACCAATTCACAAAGCTTTCACAATCAGATTGCAGATTGTTATCTACAGAGAAAAATCACATAAATGGTCCCTCTCGCCTTTTCTTCCAGGCGTTTTGGAGAAAGTTTGCAAACTAAAACATCAACATTAACTAATCTTTTTTTAACATCTGTACCTGCAATTATCAGTATCGACATACCTTTTTTGGGTTGTCGTGTCGCGTGTTCAGACCGTCCTTCATCAGACGCAGACATTAATACTCACACACACCTTGCTTGCAGAGGGATTCACCACTCTTGTCTGATCACGGTGAAGCTCCTCCCCGCTGGATTTAAATAAAGTCTCCCAAAACAAACACTCTGGTCGGTCTGGTTCCTTGGCAGGAATTGAAGCCTGAAGGTGAACCAAATTGTACTGAAACGTTTCATTCACATGCTTTAACACACTATCCCACTATTCACAGTCACGCATGTGATGGAACAGCAGTCAAAAAGCGATAATTCATAGTTAAGGACAAATACATTTGTGTGTGTTTGTGTGTAAAAATAGAATTATAAATAAATATAATGATAATAATAAACTATATATAGTACAATATTGTTTTTAAAGTTGCGTTTGAAGGTATAGATCAAATACGTATATGTACAAAAGTCCCAAACAGAGGCAGGATTTGGGGATTTAGCAAAAAGGCAACAGTCATAGCTAACCTAGCCTTAAACCACCTCTTTACCCTACAGTGTAATGATTTAAGTTTGCATTTGGTGCCCAGAAGGAAGGCGAGTCCCCACAATGTGACTGTGTAATCCCATCTATGTCTCAACAACCCGAGTAATTCACGCCCACACACACACCAACACACATATTTACTTCGGTCACTTTTGGGGACATTACCGTTACCCGGTCTGTGAGGAAATGACTCTACTTCTCTCTTGATTTATTACCTCAGTAAACATTGTAAACATGAGTTTATGGTCTTAATCTCTAGTTTCAAGTCTTCTTCAATACAGCAGGCTACCACGCTGAGGCTAAGTAGATGTGATTGTTCATATGGCATGCTAACATTTACTAAAAGCAATGGTAAATCTTGGCTTAGTGTCGGAGCTTAAACGCCTTTTAAACATCGAATTATCTCACCTTGCTTCGAGCGATCATTTAGCATAATGATTTTAAATTGATTACGAGTTGCAGCCAATTGTATCATAAGTATATAATTATAAATTGCATCTGTAACGGCAGCTGGACTGGATGGACAAAACCACAGGCAGGTTATTTATCTATTTATTATCTTGTGTACATCATTTCTAACCATAAAGTCCACTAAAATGAAAGTATGTGGTGAACCTGTATCTAGTGTGAGACGCTCTCCAGACCTTCTAGCTGTGAGAAGTTGAGACTGTGTGACGGGGATCTTTTAAAATGACACGATAGCGTAACTTTTATATGCTTTGTCATGAGACGTACCAAGTGTTTCGCAGATAAGAAAAGAAGATGTGTTTGTTTTGCAAGTGCATTGTCTTGATAACAATCGGATGGAGACATACCGTGCTGACATCTTAGAGGCTATTGTAAAAGTCGACTCACTGCTTGAACATGAATACAAAGCATTTGTTCAATAATATTTTGTTTTTGCAGGCGTGTGTGTGTATGCGTCAGCTTTAATAGAGACTTTAGAACAGTACACCTGTCAAATGGGAGGTGATAGGTGTCATATACAGACATGCAACTCAAGGTTACATATTTGCCAGTGGTGGAAAGTAACAAATATACTCGAGTATAATGTTGTGTCTGCAACTTGGTTCACCCTGCTGTTGAGTTTAATCAGTGGCACGAGACACACCTGGGTCTGCTGTGCCCCGAGCACACCGTGCAACCGGATCATCTGACCTTTTTGGAGGATTTCTCCTCCCCACACACGCAGAACTTCTTTTTAGTTTCGTCCACTCCCTACTGTCTTTACGAATTGTTTGGATTGTTTTGTTGCAAATAAATTACTTAATTAAAGGGAAGTTCTTGATGTTCAATCAGATGGGAAAAAATACAAATAAGGCAACAATGTCGATCTTACTCATTGAACTCTTACAGTATATTTATCCCGGCTCTCCACTCACTAAGATTTCTGAAATAAACTCATTCATCTTTTGTCTGGTTTGCGTTTGTGTTCAACATTAACACTTTCCAACAATAAGAATTTCGACATCTAATTTGGGAAATATTACACCAAATGAGGAAAGCTCGTGAAAATAGCTTATATAATTCTTGTGATGCGGGGTTTCGACAACACCAAAATAGCACAAACCCATTCTGGTGGAACTGCCATTACGGTATAAATGTACTATATAAGATTCTGAGTAAGAAGTTTAGAGGAGATCGTTAACTGAAGGCATGCTCGTCTTACATTCTCAAACCTTTTGTTTCTCCTTTATATAACTTTTTTTTAAATCCAAAGTCTACCTTGCGGTATCAACCACTCCCTTTTTTGGAAATCAACAATGTTGATCTTATTAAAAAGCATCTTTATGAACAACACGTAATATATAGTAGACATAACAGAAAGGAGCCAACATACACACATAAAAGAGTTGTGTATAGCATGGCTCCACATAAAACCTTCATCGGTGATGTATGATGTTTGTGTTTTCCAAAACAAAGGCGTTGTCACACATCAATACCACAATGACTTTTATAAGACGTCTTTCTGGCCTCAATCCAACTAGCCTGCTAGACTTTAAGGCGGGCCGCCATGTCAAAGATATATATCAAGTCTTTTTTACAAAAAAAGTTGTAAAAAAAATCATCCTATCAATTATTTAGTATAACCTCTTTTTGTCCAAAGCAGGTGTTTTTTAACAGGTATGAAGGACAAATCAGTTTTAAAGGTTTTTAAAGACATGACTCATCTGTTTGGGTTCGCTCCAGGTTTTGTTGTTGAGGTGTCTGTAACTGGTGTCGCTGGTTTAAACATTAAAAAACTTAATTCTGTGTTTTTTTTAAAGATTTTGTGAAACTACTCTCTTTACTGACTGACAAGAAGGCTCTCGATACACTTAATATCTCTATGTTTTGTAATATTTCTGTCATGGAATTTCTGTCAAAACTCGGACACTGATGGTTCTGAAGATTATGAGATATTTATTGATCAACAATAGGAGACACACACACACACACACACAAATGGCAACCACTGTCTTATTGAACAGTAGGCAAGCTATTGCTTTTTAGAGAACAATGAAGCTCACTCATTGGCTGGCACGACTCAATCTATAGATCTCAACCATTGACTATTTCCCCCCAAAACACATTCCTTCCATGCTACGTATTTAAGACACATGGTGCTTCGGTAATATATTTCTCAAGACACATTTGTTTCTCAATTAGGATACATTAACCCTTCGTTAGGATCTGTATTTGAGTCAAAGATGGCAACTGTGTTGAATACTGTTTCCTGGTTGACATGTAGCCACCTGAACCTGAACCAACCCTTATTTTTAACCCTAACCACCGGGGGAGATGCTGTCATTTTAACAGGAGGGGAACACTATTTGCAACAAGGGAATCCGACTTCGACACGACACTGGTGATGGTCAGAGATCAAATATTCTCCTCATCGGAATTTACAACGAAATGTATCGTAGGACGATCTGAGCAATTCATTACTAGAATCATTACATATAAAAATAGACACAGAATAATTGTATGTTATATATTTTATTCCATTCTTTGTAAACCCATGGTGTGAACCCATGAAACATTCCAGCTCACGCAGGAAAAGAAGACGATATAAAAGACAAATGCTCCAGTCACTCAGATGAGAAAGGAAAACATCTGGGCGATTCCAAGTAAATGATCCTCTCGGGTATCGTGGGACAATCTTTAATCAAATCGATTTGACATAAATGCTGTTTTCCTGGTTCCTGTTCAACAAGGAAAAAAAAAACTTGTAACCCTGAATGCCTAGAATGATAGAAGGAAGCCAGGAATCAGATTTATTTACTCTTTGAGCTTTTGCTTTTTGTTGTTGTTGTATCACAACATCTATAGAGTCATAAACGTAACGCAGTGTTCTCATTCAACAGAGAAACACATGAGTCTGCCTGCCTTGTATTTTATTGCCACCAAGTGGAGCGGTCAGGACATTGCAGGAACTACTTACAGATGTATTTGATTCATTCAGGGGTGGTTATGCAAAAAGCCAAACATCAGAAATCCATAGCTGTCATGTGGAGGGAAGAACGTCTTCAGGCTTAAGTCTTTCACCTCGATGCCTTTGGGGAACTTGATCCAGAACTCACTTAGCAGCGTAACTCATAACATTATTATTATTTACATAAGCGCTTGCCTTTCATGATATCAATCCACATTTCATATGTAATTTTTGGGACACTGAATTATAAAAATGTAATTATATTATGAACGTTGAACGTGTTCTTCTTGAACTCAAACGCTTAAACTGACCCACAACACAACACATACAGTTCATATTACACAAGCTTTGAACTTGTTGTCTGGCGTCACCGTCTGCGTCCCGTCACAGAACATTTGTTAGTATAATCTCAGATTTCATTTTATGGTTTGTAAAAGAAGACGCTTCTCAGTTCAACAGACAGTTTGGACATACGGATTTGCATCTGTTTTACATTCTTAATACCCATTGAGATCATGGAAAAAAGGTTTCAGACATCCACGCTTCATTTAAACTGACAAGTATTCAACTTGGAGGCCACACGGGAGAAAGTCCGATTAATTTTGTATCCTGCTTAATACACACATCCTTAAATACTGCTCACAAATATATATTTTCACTTTACAAAAAGTCTAAGTAAGTTTCTTGTAAAGGCAGGGCACTGTAGATCAAACAGGAGTAAATACTTCTTTTTGGGGACTATTTTTAGACATTAATTAATACACATTTGGTGCATTCTTGAGCATTTACAGCAGCATGAAAGAGTCCAATGCTTGCTCACTTTTATGGTTTTGTACAGTGTGTTTGGCTAATAGCGAACTGCTAACGGAAATACCAAATACACACACTGCTGAGGACATCGCTGCCACTCAGCCGCTTCTAAGCTGGCAGACAGCTTAGTGAGTTTCATTATGTTTTTGGCAAGATTTTGAGCCGATCGCCTGCATACATCTTTTGTTTTTGAGTTTGAGTGACGTGTGTTCATGACACCTTACAGGCGTCTAGACAGGGTTTAGCCAGTTGTGGGTTGTATTCATTCAATCACACAACACAGCAGTGATCGTTGCAGACACACCTGGAGGAGATCTGCACTCTGCTGAGTGCACCTCTCTAGTTAAATATGCCATCTGCCAATAAAGTCAGTTATGGCACATCCTGTTTCTACTTTATAGACCCGTCACATGATCTTTGATCTGTAACTGAGCCACTGCCGGCTTATGGTTCCAGGCATTAGCAGACAGGCAAACTGTGTGTTAAACAAACACTCCTGCTTTATTAGCAAGATTACATTCAATTCTTCGCTTCAAGGCCTTGTGATCTAATGTGTCCTTCTTCGTGGCCTTTATTCAAGCGCACTAAAGGAGGCAGGCACCATAACAAAGCCATGTTTGTAATGCAAGAGCTGCAGCATTCCGCCAAGTCAGGCTGAGGTTTCTGTTTTCTGTTTCAAGTGTGTCGTGGAAAATGTTAACCATTGGACTTAAAACACCCCACCCATGAGGCAAATACACTCCTTCCCTGTGTGAGAGCTGCTACTATGATCTCATAAGCACACAATAGTGGGGTGTGCTGCAGGTGCTGCTGTGTTAAGATCAGTTACAGTAAAGTGTTGCTGGGCTCAGGAGAGGGAGGGTTCGGGCCGATGAGTAACCGTGTTGACGTTACATTTTTCCTGCTTCACAGTTAGCCCTGTGACATATTCATACTCATTCATACAGCGGGAGAGTCACCTGCTCTGCCGTTACCGAGCACAGAAGCGTGACTGACCGGCTTCCCCTCAGAGAAGTAAGTATGACAAATATTCAGTAAGAGCTGGTTTGTTTCTCTTCTTGATGTTGACATGACCTGCAGCAGCAGCTTTGAACCAATAGTTAAGTTGATTTGAGTGTATAAACTGTATTTTCTTGGTTGCTGTGGGATTGAGGCCTTAAGCCTTACCCTCTCTGTTTATTTACTTCAGGGACTTACTGTATTTCATAATTCGAATGATTTGACTATTTAATAAAACAGATATAATATGCTAATCAGGGAGATGTCGAGGGGATTTTGTTACTCATGGACAGAGTTGTTCCCTACAGTTTCCAGAATTTGTGCTAAGTTAACCGGCTGAGAATGGTATCAACCTTCTCTCAGGTATCCTGTTTGAGAATCGCCCTTGAGCAAGGCAGTGAATCATTTCCTGTAGCTGAGTCTGACCTCTTTTTACGGTTCCACCAGCTCTTCATTCGTTCAAACTTTGCCTAGTTAGTGTTTACTAAATGGGACTATAACTATTCTGTTATTTCAATTTACAGTTTTCATGAGTTAAGTTTAATGCGTGCAACCTTTAATAATAATGTCATCATTTCTAACTTTGATGTAACTGTTGGAGTTCTTTCCGTTGGTAAAAGGGTGTTGGTGCACCGGTGTAATTATGTGGCTGTTTTCTGTGAAGGAAGTGAGGCGGGTGTGTCTGGTGTGTGTATTTATCTGAGAAAACAATGACTAATATACCAAGCACTTCAAACAGTGCAGGGTGTATAAGTCCTGAATTTCAAGATGTGCATAGTTACGCACATTGTTAAATAAACACCTGAAAGGTAGTTAACTGTGTTTTTACTTCATTATGGAAGTTCAGTACTCCCGTTTGTGTTTGTTCTGTATAAATCGTTGCGTGCACTTCCTCTATCAAACCTCTCCCTGAGCAACTGATCACCTAACTTCCTTTTTTTTTTACAGATAATGGCCTCCCTGGGTAACATGCTGCCAGAAAAGCAGTTCCAGTGCACCATCTGTCAGCAGGTGTTCACTGACCCGGTCACCACTCCCTGCGGACACAACTTCTGCCAGGCCTGCATCCAGAACGTGTGGGACAGCAGTGAGGTCTGCCAGTGCCCGGCCTGTGACAGACCTTTCACCTCCCGGCCTGAAATAAGCATCAACGCGGCCTTCAAAGAGCTGGCGGACACTTTTAGGCAGGTTACAGTGTGTTCGGTGGCTTCACCGCTGTGTTTGGCCAAACCGGGCGAGGTGGCGTGTGACGTCTGCGCTACGACCTCCATGCAGGTGAGGGCCCTGAAGTCCTGCCTGGTGTGCCTGACCTCATACTGCGAGGCCCACCTGGAGCCCCACCAGAGAGTCGCCACCTTGAAGATCCACAAGCTGATCGAGCCGATGACCAACCTGCAGGACAGGTTGTGCAAGAAGCACGACAGGCTGCTGGAGATGTTCTGCAGGGACGAGCAGAAGTGCGTGTGCCGGTTCTGCACCGAGACGCAGCACAAAGATCACCAGACCGTTACGATAGAGGACGAGAACCGGAAGAGGAAGGTATGCAGGCCTGGAGTATACTCTGTATTATGAGGGTTTAGACCAGGGTGTAGGATGTGCGCCACTGAACGAAGCCTCTGCTTCTGCGTTGGCCTTCTTCGTCAGTTTGGCAAACAGAGACTGTTGTCTTGTAAGCGTTGTTTTCAGCCTCCTTAACCTCCTGTTTGCAGACCGCTACCAACCGGAAAGTTCCTTTAAAAGTGTTTGTGGACTTTGGTGAAGTGGCGCTCAACGTAACATCTTTTACCGCAAATGATGCACACATTTGTCATTCACATTTGTGGCGAAAAAACACCAATTCCTCATGAAAACAGTATATATTTTTTGTCTTTTATTGATGTGGCTATATTTTCCGGGGTCATTGTGAAATAGTCAGACTGTATTCTCTATCTTTGGTGGTTGGCAATGAAATCCTGAATATTAACTTCTGCATGTATGCGTGTGTCTAATAGTCTCATTTGCTAGTAATGTAGGTGGCAAACTTGCAATCTGCCAACTGAAGGTTTCAATGTATGTTCTGCTGGTTTAGGTCCAAATAAAGAAGACCGAGGCGGATTTCCAGCAGATGATTCAGGAACGACTGAAGAAAGTGGAGGAGATCAAAAGCTGTCTGAAGCTCAGCAACGTGAGTCCTATAATGGAAATGTTGATCACTGACACAAAGAGGTTGGACTGTTTGTCACCCGTCGTGTTTGACATCATCAACAAATTGTGTCTCAGTGATTTAAAACAATAAAGCAACAGAAAAGTTGCTGAGAATACAAAAGTAAGGACGTCTTACTCTTTACTGATTTAAAAATACACAGGAAAAAAAAGACAGGGAGACCAATTTATCCAAAAAGCAGCAGCTTCTGTGGACCAGAATGCAATGCAACTACAACGTTTTGGTGTCTGATTAGTCTTTTAACACTTGAATCTAATACTCAAACTAGACTCAAACTTATTGAACACAAGACTGAATCCCTGATTACCAATTGAAAACTTTTATGGAGCAAATGTGAAAGGCATTTTGGGAAATGTAGGAAATCCCTAACAGCTATGGAGCCCAGATGCACACAACGAAGGTTAAAGGAACTATAGTTTGAGGGTGTAAAAAAATGTTTTTGTCCCCGTCTAGACGAGTGCAGAGAAGGAGACGAAGGAGAGCGACCATCTCTTTGCCTCTCTGATTCGCTCCGTCAAGGAGAGACAAACTGAAGTCAACGCGGTGATCAAGGAGAAGCAGAGAGCCGCAGAGCAGAGGGCAGAGGAGCTCGTCGACGAGCTGCAGCAGGAAATCAATGAGCTGCAGAGGAGAAGCGCTGAGCTGGAGGACTTAAGAGACTCCGAGGACAATCTGAACGTCTTACAGGTTACAATCAACACTTGAACTGTGGTGAAAACAGGGGTTTTCAGAAAAGAAAATGGCTGCCCTGAAGGACTTGAATCTCACTATGAACAGCGTACCCCAGATTTAGAGATAAAAAGGCAGAAAGTTCATCCTGTTTGGCTTTAAAATCAATGCAGTACTCAAATTCATACAGTAATATTGAATATATTCACCGTGTCTCCCTCTGGTAGAAGTCTCCCTCTCTCATGTCACCTCCTCCCACCAGAGAGTGGACGGAGATCACCGTCAACCCTGAACTCTGTGTGGGGGTGGCGAGGGGGGCCCTGTCCAAACTGGGCGTCACCCTGAAGAATGAATTGAAGGGCCAGAAGACGGAAGGTGAAGTGAAATGAAAAAGCCCTGTCTCGGTACAGCATGGCACATATTTAATTCAGCCTTCTTTAAAGTTTCACCAACACTTTTATTTTCCTGACAGAGATGAAGAGGATTCAGAAATATGCAGGTAAGACCTCCCTCAACATAATTACGTAGTTTCAGTGTCAGGTCAAATGTATTTCGGCATATTGAATCGCTTTAAAGCATAAATAATATGGTGGGATTGGAAACGTTTTCATTGCTGCCCACTTGTGGTTGTGTCCCAGGTTATTTTTTGAATAAAATCCGTACTGATGTTGTAGGAAGGCGGATCAATCTGTATTTTGAGTGACTGGACTAGTGATCTTTAGCAGTAGAAGTGGACATAGAAGAGGTGTTTTTTGCAGTAGATTTTGTATTATGCCTGCCAGAGAAAATCAAATACCCCCGTATTTTTGACCAATTACCTTGAAATCAATATTGTGACGACATTGTATGAATAACTGTTAGTGCTTTTACAAAATACTTACAGAAGATTTTTTATCAATAAATCAGTAAAGGCAAATAATAGAACAGAACAGTTTTTTCATCACTTTACTGTAACGCAACCTTTAAAACAAGGAAAAGACAACACTTGTGCCATATTACAATATTTTAAAATCTAAGAGGATATCTGGTCTTGTATCATGATATAGATATAATATCGATACATTGCCCAGCCTATTTTATATACATTTAACCCCATTGTGTCTCCCCAGTTGATGTGGTTTTAGACCCGGACACTGCCCATCCAAACATCGTCCTGTCAGCTGACGGAAAGCAGGCGGGCCGCGGCGAGCTGCTGCACATCGTGCCCGACAACCCCCAACGCTTCGACCCCGTCATCTGCGTCCTGGCCAAGAGAGGCTTCCTCTCCGGGAGGTTCTACTTCCAGGTCAGGGTCTTGATTGATGATGGATTGATTGGAGAACGGTGCTGGGAATCAACTTGAAAGTGTTTCGGAAAACCCTCAAATACTGCAGTTTCCATGTTCAGTGTTTCATATTCTCTCGCATTGTCGTTCAGGTTGCGGTGGGGACAAAGACCTTCTGGGACCTGGGCGTGGTCAATGAGTCCGTCAACAGGAAGGGGATGATCACCTCCAAGCCGGAGAATGGCTATTGGACAGTGCGGCTGAGGGCCGGGGAAGAGTACCGCGCTTTGGACTCCCCCTCGGTCCTTCTTTCCCTCAAGGACAAGCCGCAGGTGGTCGGAGTGTTTACGGATTACGAGGAGGGGACCGTGTCGTTCTTTGACGTGGAGGCCAGGGCTCACATCTACACCTTCACCGGGTGCTTGTTCCCGGGGAGGATCTTCCCCTTCTTCAGCCCGGGTGTTTTCGATGAAGGGAAAAATACAGCGGCATTGGTTATCTCATATGTTAATCATCTTTAACCTCATCATGAGACGTAGACTTGAGGATGAGCGTTTGACCGCGTTCTGAAGCTGCAAGAAAGATTTCGTCTTGCAGAACTGATTCAGTATTTGATAATAAGTCTCGTCTTCTCTGTATCTGGGTTTCTACCGAGCATACACCAGCAGGTCTCAAAGGTATAAATCAATCCCGTCCAATACATTGATACTGGGCCGTACCTTGTACCCCCTCAGCCCCCCTGAGACCTTTGAACAATTCATAATAATACAACAACAAAAAACAGTATGACATATTAGCATAACATGTATTTAACATTACATTACATTGACATTAGATAGACAATGTCACATTTCTGACTACAGCTTTAACCGTACTGATCAAAAATGTTATGAGAACAATGTCGACCAGCATGTTTCAATCTGTGTTTCTGTGGTGATTTGTTTACAAAATAAAGAAACTAGTTTTACCCCGCACCCAGAAACCTTCTCTGTTTTGCAAAAACCTTTGCATCAGTTCAGACCGACCGGCCATGTTTCCATGTGCTTTGCATTCTTAGAGGAGATACGGCAAGCCATGCAGGGAGGATAAGGAGGGACGCATTCAGTAAGACACTTTAGTAAGCAGTGCACTACTCTACTCTGCTCTACTATGACTAAGCCAGTGTCTGTGCACGATGTGATCTCATCCCTACTCATCATATTTTAATAACTCGGTGCTGACAATACCTGGTGCTGAGGCATGGACTGGCCTCATCAACAAGGCCCGGCCCACTGACTCTGACTCTTTTCCCTCCCCCAATAGATGTTGTAAAACTGTTCAGCTCTTTCATTCAAAAAAGATACATTGAACTTATTTTTATAGTGTTTTTTTAATATCTTATCTTTTATATCCGTTGTTAAAATGCTAATATTGATTAGTGCAGCATTTGTCTGTGTCTGCTGATGCATGTTGTTTGACAGCAGGGCGCTTATATATAAAACTCTACTTTCCTCAGAATCAAAGAGAGCTGGCTGACAGAAAAAAAAATGTGGATTTTTGCATCATTGTGTGAATTAGCAGTGAGGAGATTAGATAGGGAGATGTCTTGAGGGAAAAAACAGGCAGGCCTGTTTTGAATATTCAAGATGTGTTGTTTTAAAATGCAGAATCAAGATGCAAAAAACAAGAGACGACTAGTTGGGCTCTCTTGCTAGAGAGATTCTTCTTTCTCCATCACAGGTGAGTTTCATTGTCATCACAATAATATAATGATATTTATGGTGGCTTGAATTACCGTTTTTCCTTAATTTGTCTGGAATATATATATATTTTTGTTCATACGCTGTTTTATTTTCTTATAGAAACTGAAGACCATGGAGAGGAGATTGTTTGGCATTCTAGTACTCTCAGGTGAGGTAGTGATGAGCATCAACAATAATCCTTACCAACTTATTGGTACCAACCTTACCAACTAAATCCTTACCTCTTATTAATCCTTACCAACAGTGCATTTCAGATGACTAAGCACATAAACTGTGAGCTCTAATGCCTTTACTTTGCATGGTGCATTGGTTACTCAAATACTGTACAATTTTGGGGTATTGTACTTTACTCGAGGGACATTTATTTATTTATTTCAACCCTTGTCCACAGGTCTGTGCCACTTCACATCCTCTCTTTATCATCGTCAGTACAACTTCATCAACGAAGCCAAAACTTGGCTTGATGCCCGCCAATACTGTAGAGACAAACACACTGATTTGGCCACCATCAACAACGAGGAGGACCTGCAGAAACTACCTCCGATTGAGTCTGGGGTCTCATATGTCTTCTTAGGTTTGTACAGAATTTGGGGTTGGTCGCTGTCGGACGCCGACGACTACAAAGAGGGAGAAAAGGCCTACTGGAAGTGGACAAGTGGTGAACCTTTAGCAAAATGGTGCCGTCTGGGGGACGGCACCATGACCTGGCCCGCTGCTCAGACTTACTGCAGGGAGCGGCACACAGACCTGGCCAGGGTGAGGAACCAGCTTGAGAATGAGGCGCTGCAGATGATGGCGAAGGAGGACCCGGTCTGGATCGGGCTGATGGGGACGTCCTGGGCGTGGTCCGATGGGGGGCGAACCCTCGTTCACACCCTGGAGGCCGCTGAAGCCCTCGTCAAACGGTGACTGTGCCGTACTTGAGGTCAACAGCGAACCTCTCGGAATGATCGACTGGGATTGTGCTGAGGAACTGCCCTTTTTCTGCTACTCTGGTAAACAACACACCCTATGATGTTTACTGTAGAAATCTATATGTCTATTTATGAGCGCTACACATCACAAGGCATTTTTAAAGCAATCAGGAACGACCCCTCGGAGTGCATTATCACTCTTATACCGTGGACACAGGCAGCCTGTGTTTAACAGCCCAGTATCATGGCAGTTCATGCAATAAATAATATACCGTTCACTCTTATATTCTGTCCAGATCCAATGAGGAAACAGTTGGTGAGACTGAGGCTGACCGCCGACTCCTCCGTGGACATGACGGACTCTGCTGTTATGGAGTCAATCATAAAATGGGTGACGTTTACATTCAACCTTTGAGGAATTTCTGACAGCTTGTGTGAATTCATAAAATTTCACTTTATGTTCAACAACCGTCCCAGATAGAGGCGATATCGCCCTCTAACCCGTGATGAAAAATATTAGCAATGTCACCTTTCATGTGTCTTTCCTGCTCCGTAGGTGGAAAGGAAGCTGAGCGATAAAGGAGCGACTAAAGATGTCAAACTGAGCTGGAGGAAGCTTCCGGAGAAGGAGGAAAACCTCAACGAAGAGCCAGAAGAACCAATTGAAGTAGTGTGTGTTCCGTAATTCACACAACCCTTTTTGAAGTTTTGATATCTGCATAATAGATACTTCTTATTTTAATATTATATAATGGCAGTTTTCTCTTAAATGTTCTGTTGCTCTCAGTTAATCTCTGCATATTCTAATTAATGCTAGTTTATATTAAGAGTTTATTATATCCATTGTGTTCAGTTTGCTGTGATAAAACCATAGAATTTATAACTGTTTGCCCAAAGACAGACGGATTGTATTTGTCCAAGCAGAGACAGCATTTGCAATCAAATTTGAAACTTAGCATCTGCTTTGCATCCCTAATGTTAGATGTTGTCGATAGACAAAACATTTCTTTGTGTCTTTGCATCCTGGTGCTTAGAGGGATCAGCCATGCCAGTGAAATAAATTAAATCAGGCTGCTCTTTGAAGGGAAGATGTAATTTGATCAAAAATTCATCTGATTGGACCTCTATGTTGCTTATGTTTATTATTTATAATTTAAATGTCACACAAACATTTGTAGTGCTTTACACAATAAAATATATAAAGATTATTATACGTGTGTGTGTCTGTGTGTGTGTGTGTATGTGCGTGTGTGTGCGTGTGTGTGTGTGTGTGTGTGTGAGACAAATATATATATATAGGTAATATCGTAATTTAGCAAATTGCTTGCTGCTATATTGATATCCAGAATGTCAAATACAGCTCTTTAAATTTACTGCTGTAAAATAAGAGCTCAAATGTTTTAAGATTGGAACAATGGAGGCGTAAAATACCCGTGAAAAGGTATTAAACCTCCACTAGAGCAGGGGTTCTTAACCTTTTTGACCTCGGGGCCCAACTTTTCAAGTACGAAGTGTCCCGGGGCCCATTCAAATATTAACACTATTAGTTTAACTAATTGATCTCATTCTTGGTTTGATTTGTATTCAATAACTATATTGTTACCTGTTCAACTCCACCCCTATTTTGGAGCAAAACCGCCTAAAATAACATACCCAAATTAAAATGGCTGTAGCTTCTGAACCACTGTGACTATATGCATCAAAAGTGTCAGAAAACCTGTAGGTCATATAGAAACAGAGCAGTGGGCCTTTGGAGTCAGTAAAAATTGAAGATTTTTGTCTGCATAAAATAAAAAAGTATCTTTCAGTATAAATAACTGCCTGTGGCTGTGTCTGTACAGGTAAATGACAGTATAGGGCTGTAACTACACTATCAGTGAACAACTGCCTCAAATTTGAAGAAGATTGGACAACGTATGATGATTCTACAGTGTTTCTTCCATGAATCGTGTAATGTTTATGATTCATTAAATGATGTAACACTGTGGTTAAATCATGTAATGTTTATGATTCATTAAATGATGTAACACTGCTGCCCTCTAGTGGTTAAATCATGTAATGTTTATGATTC